ACATCATTCTACCCATAATTCATAGCGAAAGATTTTGCGCAGAGAACACTTTCTATTTCTAAGAATAAACGTTTGACTTTCAGTTTAGTGTCTGAGACCGATGTATCGGTCTACCGTGTTCCAGGACAAAATTTTATCAGACCGATGTATCGGTCTACAGTGTTGAAAGGGTTAACAGATGTTGAATATCTCCAAGAAAAAAAAAGTTTTATACCCTCAATGCGATGCGCCTCTCAGGCCGTCAGGCCTTTGATTTCAATTTTAATTTTCGAATTTTCTTTAACATAAACATAATTTTTTTAATCACAGATATACTTTCCATTTCTGGTCAAAATTTCTGCTTTATCCATTGCTTAACAGCGTGTAAACATCGTAGGTAATGTCCTCGAATGTATTTTCAAACGAAGTAGCCAAAATCTCATTGCAAATGGCTACCGGAAGTGATATTTGAATACTAAACTACGAAACAAATGAAGTCGGAATTTTTTTTTCCGGATTGGTCTCCGCAATACCAACTTTTTATTTTATCAAAAATACAATAAAATCGGCAATGCGGCTACCTCAAAACGGATGCGCGCGGGCCTGAGAACCAGGATTTCAATTTTATATGGCCTTATCAATAGACATTATGTAATCAATCTTTGTTGTTATCCTCAGGCATTCCCCCAGACCAGCAGAGGTTGATTTTTGCTGGTAAGCAGTTGGAGGATGGCCGCACTCTGTCAGACTATAACATCCAGAAGGAATCCACCCTACATTTGGTGCTCCGACTTAGAGGTGGTGCCAAAAAAAGGAAGAAGAAGAACTACACCACACCCAAAAAGAACAAACATAAGAAGAAGAAGGTCAAGCTGGCTGTTCTCAAATACTACAAGGTAGGCAGGTGTAGACAGCCATGTTTATCTTCCTTCATGTCTGAACACTTGTCCAGAACCACAGTGTAGATATATTACTGATATTCATATTTGTTGGGAGGTTAACTAAATTTTCATGCTTACAATTGTTATCACCTCGACAATACTTGATATCGCAATTACTTAACTTAGCGGAACTCTTTCGCAAAGGAGGCAGGAATCGTCTGTTGGGTGGGGGCAATGTGCTATTCAATACAATGCAAGATCGATCATTGTAGCATTTATAAGGACAGATCAGTAAAAAATCCTGGTGGAATACCTCGCTAAACAATCGCTGAACCAGCCTAATATATTTTTGAGAGGAGCCAATTCTAAATTGTCACATTTTTAAAGATATTTTTAATTAAGCGGACTCTTCTCGTTAAATTTTCATTGAAAATCGTCACATTTTTAAGCAGATAAAATATTCTAAACTTTCCTTATTTGACAATCTACTATTTGGAGTTCAATATCTGGCAAATATCGTGATTTCGGCTTTAAATTGTTCGAATCATTTGATTGTCACTACTGTAAACAATGTCATTTGCCCCCAGAAATTTAGACTTTTCTCGACTCCCCCGCAAAAGAGCGGTAGTAAGTTAGATAACTGCGAGGTACTCATTGGTAGTCGCGATATAACGTATTACTGCCAGTAAGGAAACTTTTTGATTTGTTTTTTGACTGTCGGATTGTTAGGTTAACTTAATGATAAGTTTTTAATACTTTTTAAGACAAAAATTTGTGATTTCTTTTGATATGAGCAATCAGATGTCTGGCTGTGATGACAAAATTAGGACACCTTATGAAGAAGATGATTCTAAACTTGTTACAAACTGAGCCAGAGTCTGATTTCACAGAAATTGCAGTATTACCTTGAAACTACCATCTATAATAATTCTGGTACCAGCAAAAATATTTTAATGATTCAAGGAATGGTTTTAATAATTTCATTTGTGAACTGCCCTGAATGCATAATCAGCTGTAATGCATGAAAAATTGAAGACCATGTTTTGAAATTCTGGCTTCTATTAAGACAAAAAGCATACTTGATTCTGACATTCACAATGCAGAATGCCTAGGTAAATTGATGAAGACTGGCAACACACTTGATTCTGAGCAGGTAATGTGCATGCATCAAACCAGGTTAGGCAATTGAGCTGGAAATTTGATAGGCTCTGATAATAGCATCATTGAAGATGGTGGTGTTGAAAGTTGTATGTTTTAAGACAAGAAGCTTCTAATCGGGATATGCTGGTGAAATGAACATATATGCAAATGTGTGGTCCTATTCTATGCTATATAGGTACATTTTATGATAGAAATACAATATTTCTATTACTTTACTTCAGCTTTCTTGCTTGATTCTAAGAACTAACCAGATTTACTCAGCTGGGTTTGGCTTGGCCGAATTCTATCAGAATCAAATATGCTTGTATAAATTGAACAGTCAAGAAATTGGAGATGTCTTAAACGAAAATGGTTCACATGTCTTTAGATACAGAAACATTATTCAAAGTAAGGTTGAAAATTCCTTAGTATTTTGATGTTGTTTTCAGGAGATGGTTTTCTGTTGCAGGGGGTTCCCTTTTAGTCTCTAAAAAGAACAGGATCCCCCCCCCCCCCCCAAGTAAATGACCTATTTCTCTGTTTAACTTTTGTGTGTTTTGTGTTTTAGGTGGATGAGAATGGTAAGATCACCCGTTTGAGGAGGGAGTGCCCCAATGAGGAGTGTGGAGGCGGTGTCTTCATGGCCTCCCACTTTGACAGACAGTACTGTGGAAAATGCTGCCTGACTTATGTATTCAATAAACCTGAGGAGAAATAAACTGACTTAGGCACAACCTCTCTACATGTTGGTGTTCATTTGTTCATGTAGAGCTTCAGATTCAACCCTTACCTGTACATTGTATATATGTCATTATGTACAATGAAACTAGAGTGTTCCAAGGAACGCATGTGTTGCCTACTTTTAGCTTCTTTAAAGATTTAACTAAATCTACATGTAAGAGTGGTCAGGTATTTATATGCTACTAGCATATACAGTATTTCATGCACAAAAAAAAATCTAGCATGATAGTTCATAAATGCACAAAAAACATCCACACATTAGCATACAAGTAAGACTGTGACAGAGTCTGTCGATCAAAAAAAAATATGATTCCCAACCCTCAAATGAATGATATGAAATCATTATAAATAATTAATTATCATTTTACTTGTGTTGATACATGTTTCAAAATAAATAGCATAGAATTATCCCTCAAATATCAAAAATATGCTGTATATTGGCACTTTAACTTTTTAGTGATGTTGGTCTGACTAGGTCAAGGGTCATAAGGTCAGTAACCATGGCAATTTACAAATGCCATAGTGCCAAGCAATAAATGTGCAAAATATCATGTCCATATCTCTTTTAGTTCTTGACATACAAGGTGTGACAGACGCCTGGTAAAGTGGTCCCAATAGTGCCGCTCCTGCTCTGCAGGCAACACAAAAATTGTAGTATAGGCTTAGACTCGCATTCCAAGAATTATGCAGGCAGTTTTAAGAATTCTGAGTGGTGTTGGGGGGTTGGAAAGTTTGTATTTCTTTTATTTTTTTATGGAAATTTGAATCTAACTCCATGCTTCTCGAAAATATGCACATTTTATTTATTTTTAATCACCCCCCTCCCCTCAATACACTTTCAGTTTGCTTCTGACACCAATGACAAATATCAAAGGAAAAGTTGATATCAAAAATGCTAATGCAGTTATATAGCTCTTACCAATATACATTTGCATCCACTGAATATTATTTCTTGTTACAAGGAATAAATCTGTGAACATGAAAGCCTCAGCACAAGTTTACAGTTCAAAAGTTTTAGTCAAGGTTAAGTTTATGAAAGTGGGTCAAACTCTAAGGTCAAGGTAGAAATGCCAAATATTTTTATACCTGTTGAAAGATATTGTCACAGTGAATACACGTGAAATTAAAGCCATAGCACTAACTATTCAAAAGTTATGGCTATGATTTAAGTTTGAAATTTTTTGGTTAAAATAGGTCACAGAGTCAAATTTGATGGTACCAAAAGGAAAACATCTGTGAAATAAAAGTCCATGTTCCCACCAACTCGAAAGTAATGGGACAAGGTTAAAGTTTTTGCGGACAAATATATAAACAGACAGATAGACGGGTGGACAGGCTAAAAACTATATACCCCAGAATCTTTGATTACGGGGCAAAAAATTACATAATCAGCTTATGCAAGTTATGTATTTTTCTGCAACAGCTGGGACATTAATTCCCGTACTAATAACCAAAGAAAGCATTTCATCGTGTAAGCGAGGAGACATTAAATCTCATTTATTGTCTGTCCGTCTGTAAGTCTGTCAGTCTGCAAGACTGACAGACTGTCTCTCTGTCACAAACACTTTAACCTAGGTCTTATCTTATGTGGCCAACTTTTTTTAAGGGGTCTCTCATACTACAGGTACATGTATATCAAACAGTGGAAAATGTTTCTTATTTGTCCTTCTTCATCTGTTGTAATATTTTCCATCAAAAGATTTATGTTGCCATTTGTATCCTTCACTTCAGTTTCAAAGATATTTTTTTTCCGATTTTTTTAAAATGACATAAACATTTCTCTTGGGTTAAGTACTTTACATAAGTCATTGAAAAAAAAAGCTTGTGTCCCATTGGTACTTAATGCTAAAATTGTTTTTGTCCCATGGCTTTCTTTGATGAAAAAAAACTCATTGTCCCATGCCCGTTTGTACCGGTCCCATCATTGTGATAAATTTTGCCTGGTCCCTTAAATGATATTTTGAAAATAGCAGCAGTAAAGATAACTCTGTTAAGCAGACAAATCTAAATGTATGAGTTACCTTTCCATAGCGTCATTAGTATCGCTCACTAGGTGGGGCAGTTGTAATTGTTGAGCAAATAGTTCTTTATATATGTTGAAGAATTTTCATATTTTAACAATTTGGAGATAACAAATTTATTTAAGATCATGCTAACAATATTTAAAGGGATATATACCATTCTTAATTTAAGCAATAACCTTGTTTTTTTCTTCATACGGTGTATGAATAATTCATTCACAGAGTTGAAAGGTCAAATTAATATGGCTTCACGAAAACATTTTACCTGAGGAGAAATGTGGGAAAACATGGCATTGGTCAAAACGGGATAATTTAATTATTTGGATTTAATTACCTTGAGGGATTGGATTTCATTTTCAGGGATATACTTGGAATAAGTGTCAAGGAATATGTAGTTGATATGTGCTCTGTTAAAGCTTCAAAGTTTTGAATTAAAAAGTTCATTTAAAAAAGGAATGTCTTCTGCATTGTTTGATATTGAACAAATAATGCAAGACCAGGCAGGCTTATAAATAGAATGGCTGCCGGAGTTAATTTTATGGAGACACCCCTTGTGTTGTGGGTGAGGAATTTTTAATTTTAATAATTTACACGCGTTTGAAATTGTTATGTATCTAAAAAGTAAAATTGCCTGCGTTTTTGTTTTGTTACCTGACGTTCTGTTTCAGGTGGAGACGTTCAGTAATGGTCGAACCTTGGAGTTCAAAGACCTGTGCGACGGGGTGTTTTTAAATGATGTCATGCTGCAAATGTAAGTTGAAAGTTTAAAAAGAACGTGCATATTAAAAATCCTATCAACGTTGGTAAAATTTTACTTGTTAAACGACAGACAGGAAACCCCCACCCTAAACACTACCTGAGTGGCACCACCATGTGTATTCTAACATGGAAGTGTTGCGCTATATAATAAAAAAAAGAAGACATTTATTTATAATTCCTTTTTGTGTTCATCTAGAGAATATGTAGTATATACCTGATTATATTAATTAAATTACCGGGTATAACAGAAGATGAAAAGAAATTCCTCATTGACATTTGTGGTTAATTATGTGTACAAGTATTATACATGGAGTACTAGGTCTATATATGTAAATATCAGTTTATCAAGTTTATAGTTAGAATTTAAAACTCAAATTCCAGTCGTATGAAATAGTAATGTTTTTATATTGTCTGCTTCATATGATATTAGGATGATATAATTTTATGCATTTATAGAAATGTGTATATTAGAATTACCCCAAATCAAAACTTTCTAACCCTTCAGGAATTAGAAGTAGAATTTCCAGCTATTGATTTTTCTAGGGGGAAAATGGAAAACATTAGAGCCCATGGTCAGACAAGCTAAGCTTTTAGAAACCTGTAACAATTATTCATCACTTTCTGGTTCCATCTAAAGTAATGAACACTGGCAACACTGCTGGGTGGTTCGGACATTGTTTACAAGTGTGTCATTTGGTGCAATGAATTTTTATTTAGAATTGGCCTTTCGCCAAATCTGCTAAATTATTACTTATGAAATAGTTCTATATGCTGACGGTATTAAATCACTTAAATTCCTCTTGGCCTGTACTTGAGATGTATACCTGTAAAACTAAAATTAAAAAACAGTTAGGAAGTGAGTCAAAAGAAATGACGTACATATATTTTACTTACAAACACTGACTTTGACGTTATGTGTTCTTTTTATTTCATGCTATTTATGTGTAGTTCAGTTTTTACCTAAGTGGATTAGTGTTTCACAATAGATTGAATTTAGTGACTCTCCCTATCATTCTATTGACCCTTTTTGATTAAATTTTTTTTTTGTCAGAAATATTTGTCAGGATTGCACCGGCATTACTGAAAAACCTACCTGATACAAGGGTTCTAAAAATCAAAGTTCTTCAAGGATTCTAGGGTATAATTATATGTGGATTAAAACTTATATTATATTTTATAATAATATATACTTGGTAAAATCTTTGACAGATATTGATACATTTTATACATTAATTCTTTTTAATTTAAAATAGTTTTATTCATTAAAATTAAGCCTCATTGAAGCTACAATATTTTTGATTACCTGGCAGTTTTTATTTAAACTAGTACTTGTGCAGTGAATCTTTAATTATAAAAATAATATCATTATTTAAGCCAATAAATGTAATAAAATGAGACCATTATTGAAGTTAAATTATCACTTTTGATGATATTAAGACTCTCCCAAGTGATATTCCAATCTTTTTTTCTCATTAAGAAATTGAATTGTGCAGTGAGGGGGAGATAATATCAATGTTTTTAATGCTTTTGTTCTTGTTGCTCTAGAAGTACTTTTCCACATTGATTGATTAACGCTCTGTATGCAGTCACAAATTTCCCGTGGAATTTTTTGTCACAGCGTTTTTTGTGCACATAAATGGTAATATATGTACAAATAATCTTGAGTAATTGTTAAACCATGAATTGGACAGAAATTCCAATTCAGCAAAATTATGACCCCTCAGTACAGTATTCAGAAAAATGATGCCACAGAGACTTAGAGGCCATGTATATATAGTGCCCTGTGTGTCACCATGTTGATTGTGTATTGACTGTGTTTAAGGTAGGGTAATTTAACTGTATGTACAAACAAACAATCACTTGTAGCGCGATATTTGATAAGAAATAGATTAGACCCTCTCTCAAGGAAAAATAGTCCCTCCTGTAAATACTGGTTACATCACTCGGGGAAAATCTCTCTCACATTAAGTCCATATAGAGGAGGGCCAATGTATCATCCAAATGTTTACCAAAGTATTTTCTGAACATTGAGTCACAGATACTAATATTTTCTTAGTGTACAGGCCAGTACAAGGGTGGTACATGGGTTCTTGGAATAACAATTGATTTAAAGACTTTTCGAGTCTGCTATTGAATGGACAGCAGTCTTTATTCATGTACAAGGTTTCAGGGTAGGGATCTTGATAAGAGGGCTTGTTCTTTTATCTCGACAATATTTGTCTACCCACGTCTGTCGGGACCTCTGTATGTTAAACTATTTGCTTTTTGTGATTAGATATTGACACTTACCAAAGATTGCCCTGTACTATTGACTGTACTTTGTAATCTGCTAAGAATAATAGTGTGATATGGTGGTAGACAGTGATCTCTATGTTAATTGTTAATGTACATAAAGATATATCTGCATATGTTAAGAATATATAAAAACCATTGCATTGTACTAATTAGTAATTAAAGTAATTGACTTGGAGCATCACAAATGTCATTAGAATCTTTCCTGTGGTATAAACTGTGATGAAGATTTAAATGCAAGTGTGGAAGCAAGTTACAATTATGGAAAATTCAAATTTTCCCAACTTCATGCATCCTTTTATACCCAGTATAAAAACGGGATAAAATAATAAACTTTATATCAAAACACAAATACTGCATCCTCTCAGACCAAAGTAGAGTTCACTTCTAGCTCTCTCCTTCTCAGAATTGAAGAGCTTGAGGATCTTAAACTTTGGCCATCATTTGGGACAGGGACAAAACTATAACTCACTATCTGTTGGTGAAAGTGAGTTGATATGAAACAATTTCTTGCTATTATATTTATACAGTTGTATTAATAATGTCAAGATATAGATTATAATATGCCTGTGGTATTTAACAGTGACCCCTACCCTACAATACCCCTGTTGTATTTTACAGTGACCCGCGCCCCATTAACTACCAGAACCCTATAATATCTCTGTTGTATTTTACAGTGACCCACGTCCCATTAACTACCAGAATGTCAACAGAGCTGTGGAGGATGTCAACATACAGCTTCACAACTGGGAGATTCTCATCAGGAACATCAGGGCCTACTACGTGGTATGTATCATAGAGTATCTACTGTTTGTTAGAGTGTAAACTGTATGTATCGTAGAATATCCACTGTATCTAGTAGTACAGACAGTGTTTTGTAGACATAAAGCTTAACTGGGAAATTCTCATTAGAAATGTCAGGGCTTGATGAATATAGTTTGAATTTTTTTTTGACAAATGTATCACAACCAATGTATCATGTCATAACCACTGTATCATGGTACATATAATATTGTATCACAGGATACATGTATCAGCCCAACCCTATCTAAATTCTGTTGAAAATAACTTCACAAAGACAGGGACCGACAAACAGATTTTTCAGCCCCTTGTCCAAGGGCAAGTACATCACTGTACATGGTCAGAATTCACTTGTCCTACCTGAATATTTACTTGCCCCACCATAAACTATATCATATCTATACGTAAAAATGAAAGAAAAATACTTAGTAGATCATGTAAACCACTGGTGCAAAGCAAATTAGATCAATGACTTGGATTTGAATTTGAAAACTCAGTTAAACATTGCCCTTAACTTTTGACTGGGCTGAGCCATAGCTGAATTTTTTTCAAGTTGCTTTCCCACAGGCAAGTGGTTGATAAAATTCCACTTGTCCACCCTTAAAATTTACTAGCCCCGAGTGCCGGGCAATGGGATTTGTTATCCCCTGAAAGGAGTTGAGAGTAAATGACGTATGTCGAAAAAATAGTTTCATTTATATCTGCATATTTCACAGAAATGCAAACAGGTGGCAGTAAATGGAATCACTTAAATTTTAATATACAGGTGTATTTAAATCAATATGGTGTTTTAGGTGACTGTCTAAGGTCTGGTGTCTTATACGTGACGTGTTCTGGTTGATTGAAGTAATGGATGTCCACATTAATAACATTATAAAAGACTTGTAAGAGGTGGCAGCCCTGGGATATCTCGGGTCTCAATACACATTCAATTCTCCACTATTATCCTTATATGTTATCAGAGGGATTCTAAGGAATGCTTCAAGTTACAGCTTGTCTCTGCAATGTTACAGATGTAATGATGTGTATTGACAAGACTTTATTTAAAAAAGATAATTCTATCCATTACAATCTTGCTGTGGTTGTTCATTATCACAGAGAATGGCACATGTGCTTTCAAGTCTTACTCTTGAATACTCCTGTTTTAATTTCAAAATTCCTCAAGATCTGTAACTTTAAAATTTAAATGACTGATTTATCTTGTTCTTTATTGTATCTCGTGAAATTCTTCATATTAATATTTTGTGAAACCTTTTTTGTGTATGTATGTTTGAACTACCTAAGCAATTCAGTAAATTTCTTTTATCTTGCTCAACAATCAAAATTTCATTATCTGCTCAATTTCATTAATTTAAAAGTTAGGGAGAAAGTACAGAATTTTAACACAAGGAATATTTGTCAATGAGAAGGTTCTCTGAGACACTTTTTTTTTAAAGCAATTTAAACCTATATATTTGATACTTTTTCTTTAAACATTGAAATTTTGTTTGTTTAAACATTTGAGCAGATGAGCAAATTTCAAATTCTAAAATTGAGAATATGTAAAATAGATGATAAACAGGTAATTTTACTTGAAAAATGTCTTAAATTTTTAATAACATGCACTGGTAGTTATAGTGAAAATTGGACATTCTAGTCAGAATAAAGTGCAAGACGTTCACTTCACAAATGAGGCAATCTTCATGGAATGCATACAGTGAATACCTGCATGTATATAAACACAAGTTTGGCTGTGATGTTTTGATTTAAATTCAGGTCCTGTATTAGTTTTATGGTATGTGCTAGGTGTTTATCTTATCAGCAGGTTAATGGGGGTGTCAGGATCAATCCTACCAACCCTGTCCTCCAGTGCTCCCCCTTCTGAAGGTTTTACAGCTTTATAGCACCCCTTAAGTGGCACTAGTAAGGAATATCTCTGGGATACCCTAAATTTATAACCAACTACATCCCGTATATGGGTAGTATTTGTAGCTACAGACATACCTGCCAGTATTGGCTGATTGTCTGAATAAATACTCAGAGTGTTGCTGAAAATTCTCATCCAGATATTACAGCCCTTCAATAGAGAGGAGATGTGCTGTAAGATTCCATCTTATGTATGTGATAAAATGTTGTGGTATTGAGTGAAGGCATTAGGTTAATAACTAAAGATAAAATTTGTATCCCAAAGTTTAGGTCCATTGTTTGGCTGTGTGTATCTATGAAGGGCAGTTTAGATAAGATTTCTGAGGACCAGTTAATGTCACCCTTCTCTGACCTTATCTGGAGAATTCATTAGGAATCAATGAGGCTGGGCTGACTAATAAAATCCCCAGGAAGACCGTGCTGTCGTGTGGCTTAATTATGGCTATAGAATCTCATTGCTGTATTCTTTGCTTAGTGCTTCAGCATGTTCAAAGAAAAGTTAGTCACAATGTAGAGAGATATTAAATACTAATGGAAAATAATGATAATCTCTTCAAGGAAATTGCTTTTCATTTCAGTTATTTTCCACACATTTTATTACTGGGTATACATATATGTATTGAATCTTATTTGGGAATAGAGCATGCATAAAGTCAAAGCCTATAACTATTATGAACTCATAAATATATTCTATAGCAAATTGTCTGGATTTATAAAGAGACTGTGTCTAGTTTAATATTGTAATATATTTGGTGAATGTTCATCTGAAAAAAAAAACAGAGCTACAGTGCCACCATTTAAAAAATGCATATTTATTGCACACAAAAAAGTGCGATTTCGATTTCTCCGTATTTCACATACAATCTCAAAATACTACAACCATGTGATCCTAACATATTCTTGTACTATTTCCAAAAACATCATAACCATATCGTACAGTGTACTATTCTTTAATAGCCCTCCTGGGTCTAAAATGGAAACAACGAAAATTAGACTGCAAGATAATTGTGCAGATATAAAATATGATAGTATTAGCTGATTATAGGGGTCAAAGGAATAAATATTTTGAAATGGATCCTTTGTATAGTTGAGGACCTAAGAATATGGAGAAATTAATTAAAAAAATGAGCGCAACATTTTGTACACAATAAATACACAGTTTTTATGGGTATAACTGTAACTCTTGTCATCCATCCTAATTATTTCAGACCAGCAAGCTACATATCTACACCTATCTATAACAATACATGTACCAGTGTAGGAATTCAAACAATATTCCAACAATTCAAACAGTCTAACTTAATTAAATGATTGGACTTCAGGGTGGGAAGTTTTACAATGAGTTCTGAATATTGGAATTAGTTTTTTTTTTTCTTATAACGTACAGTTGACATATGTACCTATAGGTTGCTGTACTTATAGGGAAAATCCAATTGTATTTGTTATTTTGAAGCTTGTATGTAGGTGTTCAATGCTAAATAGATCTAGATTGTAAAGATTAGAAATCTAACAATGGTATAATGAACCTAATCATAAAGCACACTACACACACTACAGGAATGTCATCAAACAGACCGACCAATTGGCACTCGTTACAATATGCTGCAAGGAATGCTTAGGTGTATTAGGAGTTTTATGAACAGAAAAAAAATGTCCATTTAAAGCTCAGAAATATTTAGGGTCATGTGAAACACTGCCAAAATTATGATTGACAATTGTAATTAAAACTCTCAAAGAATGAATGGTTTTTGACAGACATTCCTGTGTAATCTTTAACTGTTTTGTGAAGAGAGCTGGTGTAATGTCCAACTGTTGCGAAGCAGAGACTGGGTAATCAAGGATTATGTAAGGCCATGACACAGAGAATAAGCAGAGCCTACAAGTTATTTATCTTCAATTATATAATCAATAAAGCCAACAGGTTCCAGGGTTCAGGCTTCTGATCATTGTGTAATCTTCATTATCCCGTTATGTCAGGCTGGATAAGCCTGGATGGCCACTGTCTGTGGTAAAACCACTGCTTCTTTTCCTGGTTTGTCTCTTCAAGTTGTTCTTAATTAAATTACTGAGTCCCAAATATATGGACAAGGCATCTGACAAGTCTTTATTGTTAGATTTCTATTAGGTGTAGTTATGGACTGGTGCCCGAGAAAATTGCTGGTTGATGAAGAAAAAATTTCCCAATAATATTGTTTGGTGATCTAGATTTCGGCTGTTTTTATTTCCATGTTAAGTAATTAGTTAGTTTTATATTGCATGTAGCCCTGCCATCTCCTCACTATCACCTGAAGTCATGCTATTGAACAACTTAATCAAGTTTTCCGCGATGCTTCATTGGTTTCTCAGCTAATTTCACTGCTCAAGAATGAGTTAATTGAAGACTGCTCAGGAACGAGTTGATTGTGAGAAAAATTGGGGACTTCGGAAATGAGTTGATTGTGAGAAAATTGAGATCACTCTAAGTTTCGCCTTGCTTTGTTTGCTGGAGGTAACCAGTTTAGATAACCTGTAATCGTAGACAGGTCAGAGTGTGGTGATAGTGTTCTGTACTGATTCTGTATCATGCAATCTTGTCAACACCTCAACAATCAAAACACACCTGAGGCCTGTATACACAGGTCATTATCTGAATCTCTATCTATCTAGATAAACTATCTCAGTTCAGGTACCATTAGCTTAACAGATTGTATTACTGCAATAACATTAGGGGGTTAACAATAGAATTGCTGCAAAAGCTTGCTATTCAGTTTATCTTATAATCTTTATGATATGTTGATCTTTGGATTTCAAAAGTCTACCTTTGCAGTTGAAAAATTTTCAACAAATTTTTTACCTAGTCCTAACATTACTTTTTTATATAAAATTCCTGTACAACTAAAGGATCTGAGCTCCTGATCAGCTGTAACATTGGTTTGGCATGGTAAAAGTTAGAGTAACATGTAAGGTATACACGAAGCATCCATAGATCATTACTGAGGGCACCTGTCCTCATCTAAATAACTTCTCCAATATAAAGCAGTTGGTTTAGATGTTCAAGACATGACTGGAATGCAGACCAGTGTCAGGAGAAGTAATTAAATGGTCTGGAGATCCATTCTTGTAGCACAAGTGTTCATAGGCCTTCCATCTGACAGCTCTGAGATCCATAGTATCTCATCATTAGAACATTTGATCCACGGAATATTGATATTTTGGGTTTCTTTAAGAAGTCTGATTCACTTAGCACAAATTCTAAGTCATGAAGCCGCTTAGAGCACATTGTGACCTTACCAGTAATTAATATTCTGGAAGCTAGAATATCCTCAGCCACTGAGATTTGTTTGGAAATCATTCATTTTTAATTTAGAATAACTGCATTGCAGCCACAAATTATATATATATATTTCTTGGTCTTATAATGGATTTCTTTTAAATTACTGGCATTGAGTAAAAACATCAATAGGTCAGGTAGAAAGAACTTGTAGAAGCAAGTCTGCATTTTTTAATGTAATTAAAACAGAGACACAATAGCCTTGTCTTCATTTGGTGACTGATAAATAAATATAGCTTTAAGTGAGGCAGAAAAATAGCATAAGAGGATTGGGGGACTAATTCCCTCAGTGTATGGTCTGGTTTGGAGTCCCTTTAGTTTTGGGTAACCTGCCTTTCCACGGTTTAGTGCTCATCCAATTTTGTACTCCACTGCACCCGCTTTGTAAACCCTCAGTGCCTGGATCTGGGATTAAGAAGCTATATTTTTCTATTAGCGGCTCAGCGGTAATTATTATGGGTAATAACACCTGATCTGAAAGCCAGAATATGAAATATACGACACAATGTACATTCCATTCTCACTTAAACAGAGAGATTAACATATACGATCAACAATGTTCCAACTTAACTCATATAGTGAAAGCAATTCTTTGTATGAAATCAAGCCTTTCTTTTATAAGACATATTTTAAGCTAACGTAAAATTTGAGGTGGTATTGATTTTTATAATCAAATACCGGTAAAAGATGGCAGATATTTAAGAAATTATAAAATTTGAAGGTGTTTGAAAAATTCTATGACTGACAATCTGAATAAAAACTAAGATTTAGGAATAAAAATTAAAATTCTATTCACATACATGGGATAGATTTTATTTTTAAATTATAGAAGGTACGTGGTTTATACTTAAAATTTAATTCAAATTAATTAAATTAGAAATTTATCTCAGCTAGAAAAATTAGTAATCCAGACTTTGAAACACACAGACATTACTGTATTTAGAAGGCTGTGGTATTCAGCAAACATTGAACAAATGACTTAATTTTTATATCCCTCTAATTGAAATTTTAGGGGCAAATAGAGGTCTGTCCATCAGTCTGCCTAGCTGTTCACAAAATCTTTAACATTGCTTATAACTTTGAATGTTTGGTGGTAGGACTTTTATATTTCATATGTATATATATTCTCTGTGAAAAAAGTTTCCTTTTGATATCAGTGTATGATCTTTGAGTTTGACTTATTTTTTTTCAAAATTTTACCAAACTTTAACGTAGGCCATAACTTTTGAAGCTACATTGGTTCTTTAACTTTTATGCTTCACAAATGTATTTCATTTGACCAGACCTTTCTTTGGGTACCAGCATTTTGACCTTGACCTTGGGAGTTTGAACTGATAATTTTTTTCCTGTGATACCAATATTTTCTGATGTCATGACCTTTTAAGTATGACCTGCTTTTGAAAAACTTTAACCTTGGTCTTGAGCTGCCATGTAAACATCAGTGTTTCACTAACACATTTTTTTTTTAATGCGTCTGCACACTATGCAGCAGTTGTAGATCCGTTTTCCAGGTAATTACTTATGTTTATTTATGTTTTGTAGGACGTTCTACAACAGCTGCTGATCCTGAAGCTTCCTAACTTCCAGACAATATGTAGGGAACCAGATAAAGGTAAATCACCTGTCATTACTGGTTACCTTAATTAGCCAGACCCTAACTACCAGACAATATGTAGGGAACCAGATAAAGGTAAATCACCTGTATTACTGGTTACCTTAATTAGCCAGACCCTAACTACCAGACAATATGTAGGGAACCAGATAAAGGTAAATCACCTGTCATTACTGGTTACCTTAATTAGCCAGACCCTAACTACCAGACAATATGTAGGGAACCAGATAAAGGTAAATCACCTGTCATTACTGGTTACCTTAATTAGCCAGACCCTAACTACCAGACAATATGTAGGGAACCAGATAAATGTAAATCACCTGTCATTACTGGTTACCTTAATTAGCCAGACCCTAACTACCAGACAATATGTAGGGAACCAGATAAAGGTAAATCACCTGTCATTACAGCACCTGGTTCTTGTTACCTTAGCCAGACTCACTAATTAAGAGACAGGTAGAAGCCCGATACTATGTACACCTGTAGAGAATCACTCTCCTAGCTCAATCAGCGGCTTCTCATCTGGCCAGGGCTGAAATACCAGACCTAGTCATTGAGAAGTTCCCTAACTTAATGTAAATCACCATCAAAAGATAGCAATTTTCTAAATGGCTGATCTCTTCTGATGGGATTTTGTTCCTCGGGCTATTTTGTTGTGTCTATTTTGTTGTGTATTGAATTGGAAAATGTTGTAGATCTAGCTAATTTGTGATGTTTGTTATGGGAATGATTTCTTCTTATTTTTAGGAGTCTTATTACCTTATTTGTGTTATTTGTTACTCTATAAAGTGAAAGAAATTTGTTTTCAAAGCTAACAGTTGCCCCTTTTCCTTTAAAATCTGTATACTCACAATTTGAACATCAAGTTGTAAAATTGATTATGTTAATACATGTATCTCTTTTATTATTTTGATGCATAAATTTAAATTGTTTAATAAGTTCTTCACAAGCCAGAATATTTCCTTTGTAATATTTGTGCCCCAAAAAAGAAGGGCATATTGCTTTGCTGTGGTCTGTTCGTCTGTTCGTCTGTTGGTCTGGTGGCCTGTCCGTCCACCAAGTTTCAGTTCATTTTCTTTGCAGATATTGCACATACTGAAATGAAATTCGGTAAACATATTTATCATAAGAATATGAGGGTCAAGTCTGTTTTGGACCGAGTTATGCCCCCTGGACTGAAAAAATTCCATTTATTACACCCCCGCTCTGAAGGAGAGGGGGGTATACTGTTTCCCCTTGTGTGTCTGTCCATCTGTCTGTATGTCTGTTCACCTGTCTGTTTTCTCGTAACGAATTTTCGTCGCAGTTTTCTTAGCAACTGCTCATTGCAGATACTTAAAATTTAAGCTTATTCTTTGATGAGGCATGCCATGTTGGTGGTATATTCATTTATTTTTCAAATCTGATATCAACTTCCTGTTTATCCGTGCGTCTACCCATAATGTGATATTGTATATTCATATCACAGCGGAAGTATTACTAGTGAGCATTGGCTCACATACTTCATGTAGGGGGGGGGGCATAGGTGTACAAACACATTTAATTTGATAATTTCAGTGTACAGTTCTGCAGTTGTGATAATTACCAATCTCTTGTAGACATTAGCCTCAGTGAAATGAGGAAGACCCTACTCCTGATCCTGGGGTGTGCTGTTCAGTGTGAGAGGAAGGAATACTTCATTGATAAAATCAAACAACTAGACGTGGACGTCCAGACAGCCATTGTGGAGCACATAAAAGAGGTCTGTATACTGGACGTTGGTCTGTTACAGAGAAAAACGGATGTCATAAGCCGAGGAAAAATTGTGTGACTTAAAGATGACTTAATATCTGGAGTTGTAATGATACAGCATCAATCGCATTGATTTCAAGGACTCACCATGCACATATCATACTGGTATATGTGCATCGTGATGCAGTACAAGATCATTTTCTTTGTTTTATTTAAAAAAAATTCACATGCACCTAACAAGTTTTAAATTTCCACTTTATACTTCCTATAACTGTGGAGGTTGACAAAGAAGAATATAGAAAGATTTCAGTTAATTCAATTGATAACAGCTGTATCATATATGTGTTGTATGGCTTGATAGGGATGGGTATCGCCAAAAATTTTGTATCGCGATATATCACGATTTTTTCCCACAATTTCACGATTAAATATCATGATATTTTTAAAAGCAGTTTTTACAATGATTTTATATGAAAAGTCATTATTTTTCTAAAAAATATGCTAGAAAAACAAAATTTTACTTTCTTGAATTTTCTATGTAACTATGTAAAAGCATTTATGTTTGGACAGTAAGATGCCATTCTTTTCACAACATTTTTGATACTTTCTGTAATTGTAATTTGAAAGCTTGAACAAATAAATGAATAATTTCTGGACTTTATAATATGTACCTAAAGACCGGTATTTAGGTCTCCGTATCATGATACGTATCACGCAACAAAAAATCGCGATATACCGGTATACAGATAAAATCGCACATCCCTATGGCTTGACCATATCGTGATACGTAACATATTGTGGGGTAGCTTGGGCCAAAATAAAATTATAGTTTGTTTGGAATTGCCTCCCGCCTCGTTGAAATGCCCCCTCCTGAAAAATTTTATGACCAAAAGTAGGAAATTTTTTTTTTATTTAATCAATTTTTTTGCCCATTATTCATCTATCACATGCACCATACAAAACACAGAAATATACTGTTAGATCTATGTAAATTTAGGATTTTTTGTTGATGGTAGATACTTTTTTTAAAAGTCAGAAAATGTATTTACTGTTTACTAAGATTTTTATCAGAAATTTTGAATTTATCTTCAATCTTAAAAAATAAAATTATTTCCCTCCCTCCCTCCTGTGTCTGAAACCCTTCAAGCAACAATTCCAAACAAACATATTTTTAAGGATGGCCTTGCGATACTCAGGGCTAATTCATATCATAATTAATGTAAAACATGTGCTCATATTCATTACTGCAGACAAAAAAGTGATTATTGCAATAAGTGGTCAGACATTGAATCACTGGCTGGGAAGCACCTAGTGACACATGTCTGTTTTGATAGACGTCTCGGAAATTGAGATCCCTGTAACTGTACTCACTATAGATATAGTAATTCTACATACACCGGGGGTTAAATGAAAGGCCCCACTTCTTGCATCTCACAATGAAGTCCATTGCAGGTTGTAATGGATTAACTCTAAGTCAATCTGAAGTCCCTTTAATCCACCACTCTTACAGTTACTACTTGTTATACACTGTCCATTGTAGATGTTTCAACCCTTCTAAACAAAGAAATTTCATAAACTTTCATCTTGAATTAGTTCTAAACTTGGTAGAAAGGACAGTACTTGTAATATTTACTACCATGGCAGTCTGTTCATTTGAGATACCCCGAGATTGTTTGTATATTGGTAGAGGTATAATTAATTGTCCAAAGATAAATGTGTTTGGAGTGTTGGTCAGTTGCTTAAATGGAGAAGAAAAGTTTTGAATTTTGATATTTACTTGATAAAGTTTACCTTGCAATTTATTTCTGTGTTTTGTGTAGAGTATACACAGGTGTATAGTTGACCTTGTAGACATGTAAATCTATCCAGGAACCACAGTGTCTAAGGCTTGTTGAATTACCGGCCCATTAGTCTGACAGGCATCCTGTATATTCTGGAGTTTTAGTACATATGGGCCGTTAGAACATTTGTACACTCTGTAAATTACATTGACCCATAATAACATAGCAACACTTTGTCACACAATATACAGGTATTATAATGGAATTTCAAATGTAAAAGTTTTTATGAGAACATTTAAAGGAAAGTGCCTTTAGTAATTTATGCTACATCTAGATGAATATTTGTGTAAATGGTAAATAAATGCTGTGGGCTAAATTAGTTAAATCAAGGATTGCAGCAGTTACCATGGTAAACAATTGTGAATTAAAGTTTCCCATTTATACAGATTTAACAATGTCAGGTGATTGTTATTTTCCCTGGGTATTGGTATGATCATACCTGGATTTAATGATAGCAATAGATCTGTATAACATGATAAATAAAGAGAATAGCTCCCCTTGGTAGTATCCTGTATTATCACATCAATATTCATAGCTTCTTATCAAGTGATAAATTAACCCATCCATCCTGCAGTTGGAAGTGATAGCCATTCCTCATTAGAGAAAGGAATGCGGCGGCGGGTAGAATTGTTATCGATCGGGTAGTTTTATCTCAGCGCCTAGACCACAGTTTATTACTGAAACCCTTAAAAAATGGCTCTGCACAATTATCAATATTTAAACAGGGCAGAAGAAAGTCAAGTGTTTTCAATGTATGTCGGCTATTTAAATACACAGATGGTCTTTCACTGGGAATTGAATATTCCTACACATTCACAATTATACTGATTGGAGAATTCAAGAAATCAGCTTCAATGAATTACTATATAGACACTGGTTACATTTGGAAGTTAGGCTGGTTTTCACTGTATAACTAGTTAGGAAGGAGTCAGAGCATTGAAACATTTAGCATGAATTCAAGCCATTCATTAGAGGTATTGGATATCACAGGGGGTAGAATGTTTATTATAATACACCCTATTACTCATAAAGAAGAAGGGAAAAATGGGTATATTCACATATAAATCTGGCCAGTGTGTTCCATGTCTGTAAAGTTATGTAATTAATGGAGATATAAGGATATAATATAACCACTCAGCTAGTAGCAATTAACTCAATAAAAAGTCAAATTATGTCATTAGCAGAAGGGTTAAGTTTCTGATTTGCGTTAATACCCTTGATATTTTTTCTTTGGCATTTAAAATGATGAAATGGAGAAAATATTGGGTATTGAAGCTGAAAAGGGCATGTATTTATGTCAAATGTTTTGACTGTATTTTTTATAGGATCTTAGTTTTAAGTAAGTAAGTTATATCTGTCTATACTTGTAAAACATGAGGTCATACATGGTACAGAATGTGTCTGGCAGATCTAACTTTTTAGCTGATTCATCTACCAAATTTAAAGTGCTGGCTGCTGCAAGTTTTGTTTAGCAACATATTTGTCTTCATTATAATGCTACATAATGAACAAATACCTCACAAATTAAATTCAAATGAAATTCCACGTCTCGATCATGAGAACTTACAATTTAAATGATACAATTGTGTCATATGTATTTTGGAATTTAGATTTATGATTCACACAATTATACTGAATGATGCTTAAAACAAAATCTAAACAGTAAAGAATCGATTAATCAAAAGCCATATTATGTACATATTATTAAATTGATAGTGATGCATCTTCTTTGAAATAGTTCTAAGTAATGTATGTATTTTTTAAATGTCTTCAGATCACAGATGATTCAGAATCCATTCTCCCGATTGAACCAATGGAACAGCTGGAGACATACGCGGAGAAAATGTTCAAACATCTGACGCGGGTCATCAAAGAACGAGATGACTTCTCTGAGGTTTGTCTGAGTCTTCAGTGTGCTTCTTCTCCCCTCTGTCATGAAATCAGTCCCACTCTAAGCCTTTGTAAGCTTAGAAGGCAGAGTATCATACTCAGAATTTAGAAGATTTTTCAATTTAGTCATTTTGTATGGAATGGTTTGTTTATATTTTGTTAGCCAATAATATATATATATATAGTTAAAGAAATTATTAATAAACACTCATTTCATGAGTATTAGATGAGCTAAGACATGCACAGTAAATACAAATTTGAATTATGCCAGTGAGTTTCAATGAGTTAGATTTTCTGTAGATTTTGATGGCGTTGTAGGTCTCAGTGGAGCTGGCCCAGGAGCGAGACTTCTTCCAGACTCAGCTCCAGTGTAGCATCCAGGGTACTGTGGTGCCCGTCACTCCCCCCGCCAGCCCCGAGAAGCACCACCTGGTGGTGGAACTGGCAGACTGTAAAGCCAAGGTCCGCAGACTCCGACAGGACCTGTAAGTTACAAACTACTGACTTCAAACAAAGATTCACAATAGATGCAGTGGGATTATTGATGAGAGATAATAGATTAAATTATATGATATTACTGCTTTTAAGGTAAAATTGAGGAAAATGAAAAAAAACATATTATTGCAGTGATGGGACGAAAGACTTATTGCAATAAATCATCTTTTATTTATTTAAAGTTTTGATAAAGACATTTTTTCAGTGCTTTTTATTTTTGTTATTTGAAGTGGACATATATACTATCTGTGTTTAACATGGACATACTGTTTTTTTTTTTTTTTTACAGTGAGGACAAACAAGAGATTTTGTCTGACATGAGGGATGAATTGGAGGAGAACAAATCACTGGTGGCCAGACTCAGAAACGAGGTCAGTGTCATATCTATAAATAGATAAACTCAGAAACGAAGTCAGGGTTAACACTTCTATATATAGATAAAAGTCAGAAATGAGGTCTGACACACATATATACAGTAAAAGCAGATTTTTTTTGTGAGGATATAATTTTGGCATTATTAGTGAGGGTGCTGAGATCGCTAAAATTGAATATCACTATAAAATTAATTGATAAATTTGCGTCACGCTAAAATTTCCACTTATATGGTATAGAAGGTCAGTATTAGCACATATAGATCTTTTATATAGAAAGACTCGGAAACAAGTCCAGTATCAGAAATCTGTATAATTTATATTTGTATAAAGTAAGCCAAATGGTGTTACAATCATTTCTAAACTTTAAAAATGTATCAAGATAAGATTTTTCCATTGTTCCATTTTTATCAGATTTCTATGAAAACCAGAATTTTCTTTAATCAGTTCTTCCTATTTGTTTCAAAACTGAGTTGAGTAATATTCCTCTTTTTTTCAGAATTCGGAATTGATTCAGGATGCTCGAGCAGCCCGATCACTGAGGGATGAGCTGGACGTTTTACGAGAAAAAGTATGAATAAATCATCAGCCAATTTGTCTAGTTCTAAGGAGATCATTTCAGGATAGAAAATTAGACATTTTTCTTATCAATTATTTATGTATGCTGTAAAATTGATTATTTTTTCAAATTGATTTTTTCAATTAGCCATTAATTGGATTTTTTTTTGGCTTATTAAGTTATAACATATCATAAAGAGAATGGTACACTCTCTGAAATAAAACATTAATTTTTTTTTTACAGTTAGGAAAAGCAGATGGCTTCCAAAATGAAATTTTGAAGTACAAGGAAAAGCTGAATGAGTTAGAATTCTACAAAACCAGAGTGGATGTAAGTAATTGCATTTTGTTGTTCATCTGTGATAAGGGGCATAACTCTAGAACAACTTGTCTTTTTAGAGAGACCTCAATGTGTGGATGTTTTAGCTCTACTTATAATTTTAGATTTCATAGTCTTTGCTGGAGTTACGGGAAGATAACATGATTCTGATTGAGACTAAGAACTTTTTTATAGTTCTAAATGTTTGTGACTTTTGTAGGAGTTACGGGAAGATAACACGATTCTGATCGAGACTAAGAACTTACTGGAGGAACAGTTATCTAATTGTCACAAGAGAGTGGAGACGGTCGTGGAGCTAGAGAACGAACTCCGCAAAAAACGACAGATGGTGGAGGAAATGGCACTGGTATATAGCTTAATTAGAATTGTAAAATATGAGGTAGATCAAGTGTTAAGAAAAGTGAATCAATTCTTCAGTAACTACACTTTATTTTACTGTAGACTTGGGAGGTTTACTACAAACTTCTAAATTTTATTGTAACGTGAATGCTTACCTGGTAAGCTGATTGAATTACAAAGTAAAATTCTGATCCAAAACAATAAAATTAAGTAGTTGGTCATACATTACAAAATTCATAATCTTTACTCATATAAACAAAGTCAAAGTCAAACAATACGATTATGAAGATGCCGGAGCTCTCCGCCAATTTCTTACATTTACCCCTTATCAAGTTTGCAATTTATAAAAGTTAATTAAATGGAATTTTAAGTGGTTCTCATAATCCTAGTGCAAGTTTAATGCGGCTGATGATGCCAAGAAATAATGTACACCTTGATAAGTCGATCATTTCTTGTTATTCTGTAGGAGAGAGATTCAGACCGAGAGAAGCTCAGAATTCTAACTGAGGAGAACGCACAACTCCAGTACGAGAAGAAGTCAAGTCTTAACGAGAGTACCAACCTGGAAAAAGAGCTCGACTCAGCCAGGCTTAGAATTATGGGTAAGGCCAGAGAAAATGCATATGCATTGATTGTTGTTAATTTTAACAAAAAATTTATACATATTAATTTGTATGTTGTTTTTTTTAAATTATGTAAAGTACTTCTATTCAAGTATACTTCAATAATCTTGATTAATATTTTTTTTAATTTATATACAGGAGCAGGAGGGAGTTTATCTGACCAGCTAACAGAAACCACCAATGCCAAAATCCTGAGGTTAGAGTTAGAGAACCAGCGACTGAACCAGAAACTGGAGGAGGCCAAGGAGAAGATGTTGATAGAGAACGCAGAGCGGAACTTAGAACTGGAGAAAGAGAACCAGAGGCTGGCCAAGAAAGTAGAGAAACTGTTAGAGAGCGGGCAGGAGGCGTCACAGAACTGTCTGGAACTGGAGCAAGAGATGGAACAGTTACAGATAGAGAAGGAGAACCTGCTACAGACGCTGGAGACCGTGAAGGAGAACTCAGAGAGACAGGTGAAGGAGTTAGAGAGAGAGAAGGACCAGCTGTCTCACACCGTGGAAGTGGTACGCGCCCGCAGCGAGCAGACCAATGACGCCCGGCTCAAAGACCTGGAGAGGGAAAACAAGCGGATGTCGCAGTCTGTGTCACAGAAAGATCAGCAGCTGTCAAAGTTAGAGTTCGAGAACCGACAGCTACAAAAGTCATATAATTCATTAAAGCATAACTGTGATAGAATATCAGGGCTGGAGCATGAAAACGCCAGTCTAGAAAAGGAGAATAATGAAATGCATAAAATGATATCAACTCTGAAATTAACTTGTGATAAATATGAGACCTTAGAACAGGAGAATTCGGACTTGGATGTAGAGAACAGGAAACTACAGAAATCGGTGAAAAGTCTAAATGATCAGCTACAGAAAAAAGAAATTCTAGAGCAGGATGTGATTAATTTAAGAGTAGAAAATCAGAAATTACAAAGGTCTCTAGATGCATTAAAAAACTCTTCACAGAGAATCGCAGAAGTAGAGAATGAAAAAGACTCACTTAACAGGGAGCTTCAACACTTAAAGAAAAGTCTAGAAGTTCAGAAAAATCTCCGCACAAAGCAGGAACAGATGGAGCTGGATTTACTGGACCTGGACAATGAGAATCAGAGAGTTCAGAAATCACTCGAGATAACAACAAAACGGGTACAACAACTGGAAAAGGACAACTCCGATCTAGAAATGGAGAACGAAAAACTCCAAAAAACGATAGAGAAAATGAAAATTTCTAACAAGAGATTGAATGAGACTGAAAAACAAGTGTCAGAATTAGAGGAGGAAATGAGAAAAGTAAACAAAGAGAAATCGACGCTGGAGAAGGAGAATAAACGTGTGAAACAGACGCTGGATCTAAAGGAATCGGCGTACGATGATATTAGTGCTAAACACAGTGCTTTAAACAGGGAACTTAAAAGTCTGAAGAAATCCGTAGAATCTCAAAGAGACACGACAGCACACGTCCGTGAGCTGGAGAAAGAGAACAGGGAAGCTAAACAACAGTGTGCCATGCATCAGAGAACAGTAGCTACTCTAAGGGAGGTAAGTCTGGTCGATTTAATCATCTATTGATTTCATTTAGATATGATTAAAGTCATTCCTGAAATAATATAAACATCTTCAATAAATGATATTATTGAATTATATTTTCACATTAAAAATCATTTGTTAACATTGAATGAAATCAAAAAAGGATGTTCATAAATAAGATTTACAATAATAGTGTTTGAATTATTCCTCCAATAATGCAGAAAGGGGGTGGGGGATTATAAATTATAAAATGAATTATTCCCAGTGTATCCTTATCAAAATTACAGCATTGTGATATTATTTAGAAGTTTTATGTACATATTGGAGTATAAATTTACTGAAAACTCTTTGTTATACCCACTATCACAGAAAAAAAAAATGGACAATATGTTATTTTTTTCAGGACTTGGTAAACGAGAAGATAAAGAGTCAGAACCTGACTAACGACTTTGACAAACTGACGCAGGAACTGGAGAGAGTGGGCATTAACAAGGAGAAGTTAGTGATGACAGATCAGAGACAGGATGAGAAGTAAGTTATCTCCCTTGTCTGTAGTAACATAAGACGCAAGTATTCTGCATTTTTCTTTAAAAGTATGACACAAGTTATCTCCCTTTGACTGTAGCAACGTGTGACACAAGTTCTTTTTTATCTGTAGCAAAATATAAGTTTCTTCCTTAGTCTTTAGTGAAGTAACAAGTACTCTTCCTTTATCTGTGGTAAAGTTTTGACAAGCTCTTTTTACTTTAAATTAAAACTTTAGACACAAGTTCTCTCATCAAAATTCATGTTTACTTATAAGATTAAATAATATTGATTAAAACCAGATGATTTTCAGAATTGACAAATTCTATGTTAATGTCATGGTTTGAAATAAAAATCATTACGAATAACATTTAATCTGACAAAATTCCTTTCACGTTTCGATATTTTTTGTTATTACATTGTCTATGAAATTAGCATTTTTGGCTCAATTCTATTCATTTCCAACAGTCCATTCATTGTATACATATAATGACAGGGATGTTGTATTCAATAAATAAAAGTTGAGGACATTACAGGCACTCCTACTAATGTTATTGTGATTTAAATTCAAGACACGTGGTTTAGGTTGATCTATTCAAAGGTTATAGGGTAGAACCGGTTTTATAAATAAAATTGGCAGTAAACGTGATATTGCTATAGCCTGGAAAACATGTTGTAATAAATGTTTCCAGACCTTCTGAAAGACTTTCATGATTTTCAACAAAAGGGTGGCTAAAGGAGGGGGTGTTAAAATAACAATATATCTTATATACAATTCGGCGCAAATTAGAGCTCACTAGTGACCGATTCGCTGGTAAAAAAAAATGTGCATAATCATCTACACTGACAAACCTTTGTTTGCCTTATATGGCTATTGTTATAAATGCGCACAGAGGATCTTACCACGAGCAACTGACCAATCGTTGAATGAATAGCAACGTTTACACCAAAAACGTGTTTACATTTTACTTCGAACATGTAGTTCAGGTCAATCTACGATCAAATGGACTGCAAAATAAAATGTTCTAACGAACAAAATACAAGGATAAGAAACCATAGATGTTACGGGCGTTTTTAATTTGTTGTAAAATGGAAAAAAAAATGTTTAATAAAATGTAAGTTCAGAATACCAGCGCTTCAAGGGTAAGGAAAACGAGCCTCTTATGCATTTAAATGGACAAAACTTTGTTTACGTTCGTAATCACGTGTTCGGCCAGGGAATTCACCTGACAATTGTATTCACCGATAGTACAACAAAGGAATTAATATAGACGCAAATCTCTTTCGCAGTATGACTTTCAGAAACCTGGACTTCCGCCGTTTATTTATCAAATGAATTGTTTGTCATTATGAGCATGAAAATAATATTTTTAAAAATGCTTTTCATTTACCATAAGGTTTTCCTTTTTTCAAAATTCCTGTAGTATTCGTAGTAGCCCATAATGCAATACTCATTCAGCTGATTGGTCGGTTAAAATCATGCTGGTGCCTCATTTGTTAATCTGACGCCAAAAAATATAGTCCTGGTTCCCATGCAAAAATATTTGTCCAAAAAGAAAGTTTAATTCATGACTGCAGAAAATGTATTAAAGAAAATACTTATTTAAATTTGAATGAATGTAAAAGAGATCGATTGATTGAAGTACATTTCTACAGACATTATCAGCTGATTCTAGGTTGGTGAAAACTGAAACGCAACATAACTTTTCTGTTTACCATGCCTCCACGTGCTAGTCACTTTCTAGCCACATTTCCGTGAATAATTTACCCTATCTCGCTTAAGTCTCGCTAACTCTCGCCAGAGCCACTACCAGAGCTACTCTGAACTCATCGGGTTTTATAATTTGCAAAACACCGAAAAATAAAAGTTTCCGAACACATTAGTAGGGGTGACAGGGGCATTTTCAACCACTGATGTTTGAATGAATATGGAATTTAATGAAAGTTGTATGCTTCAAAGTTAAGCAAAACATCTTAAAGCAGTAATGTTATGAATATGCAGACTTTCTATCAATGAAAATAAAGATTTCTTTTCTCCTGGGAGAAACACTGAAGTAATGGATCACTGATTTTCCCAATGAGATATAGCACAAAACTTAACAGTTCTTTAAATTAATTAAAATATTTGGTAAATGAAACCAGTTTTGACTTTTTTTCCAAAAAAATTTCCTGGTTAAGTATGGAGACATTTGTAAAATGGGTGGGTGGGGTAAGACATATTTTGTACTTTAATTACAAATGGTTGGACAGTTTAACATGGGGTAATTAATTCCCTACCCCGACTGCATTGTGTAAATATTCTGGCACTAACAAGGAACAATGAAGAAGAATTAATTTCAATGTGCATTTAATAAAGTTTTTCTTTATTTTATTTAAACTTTTACAGTTCCTAGGGCGCCATAGTCAATAGGGGGCAAAATTACAGAACATATTCCTAATGGTTATAAGGAGAGGGCACTAAAAAGTATACACGATATACTTGAGGAAAAGTTGTCCATATTTTTGTCTGTTCTTTATGATGATGTATTTAACTGTAATTAAAGTATTAATTTTACACAGGTAGAATTGCAATGTCTTACAATTCTGGAAAAACCTGGCAATTTAACATTAGACCCGTTTGTAGAAGAGAAGAAAAAAAACACATCAAATATTTTCCTTGATATTTCTGCCATTGTTAAAAATAGATGGGGAAATCTTATCTTGAAGTTGTCTTTTAATTATTTATTATTATTTTTAATTTTGCATAATCAATATGTTTTTTTTTCCACTTAAAAAAATGAAATGAAAGAAAATGAAGCAATGAATGAATGAAAAAAAAGCATTAAGAATCCTCCTTTATTGATTGTTTAAAAAAAAAAGACAGGTAAAATTTTACATAAAAATCTAAGGTTTAAAATAATGCTTTTGTTGAATCTCTGAAATTTTACATGTTTTTCTTCAACTTAACAAAAATTATAAAATCTATTTTTAAAAAAATGAGAGCTGCATGAGAGAAGTGAAAACTAATGAGAAACTATCGATTTCTGATTTCATTTTGAAAAAGGTGAAGTCAGTCCCAGCATGTAATTCTGTTAACACAGCGCAATCTGTCTCTATTCTTATTAAGCTCTCTAAAAAATCAGGCTTCAGTTTATTAGTTTGCATATTGTATTCAAACTCCCAATTTAGGCATTTGGTGGATTATTTTTTGCTTTGATAATCAATGACTTCATGTATGGAGCTTATGTTCCAGTATACATTTAAATGCTGTGTGTTTGGGCTGGCCTGAGAGATCTACCCTAGTGTAACACTGGCCTTGTTATAGACAGGAAATCAATTCTTAAGTCTCCGCTCAGAGAATTGTCTATCAGGCCTCACTGTTTATCTTGTAAGGTTGAAGAGGTTTAACTTTTTAAAAAATCTTTCTGTCAATTGGGATTTCCACTTCCGCTGGTAACTCAGGTAGAACTGTGATAGAGTTAGGGGTATCTCTTGAGTAAACTTGACCTTAATCAGGAAACAGTTACTCGGAATGAAGGAAGACTTTAGGTATCTACTGCCAGCCAGCGCTCTCACCTGTATAGGGACTTCTATAATATTCTGTGATTAGGAAAACTTTTTATGGATACAGTTTAGATTGGTTCTGCATTTGTGAAATTGCATGGAAAGGAGATTGATGTTCAGTGATGGAAGTAATCTATGAGGCAAGTTTTGCTGAGTCTTTTGAAAGTGAGATGGCGGGAATGACCTCTTGTGAGAGTTACGAGGGTCAGGGAGGGTACCAGTCTAGTCTGGACTCCGGAGATGAGAACCAGCGCACCAGAGAAATGAATTCCGTGGATAATTCTGATGTCTCTGATACAGACAGTATGGTTGATGAGACTGTAGACAAAGATTCTGACAAACAATACAGTTTTGATGTTTATAATTATTCTGATGATGACGATGGGCTGGAGAATTTTAAGGAAAAAGTTATTGTGTAAGTACACGCTCTAAGTTCAATCAGAAAATGAAAAATTTCATAAGCCATGTCCAACAAAAATTTGGATTTGATTATGTCAAGGAAGCAATAAAGAAAACAAATCTTTGATTTGAATTTAAACTCCATCATATAAATGACCCTGCTAATCAGCCAGCTGTATTTACTGTAAAAGAAAAACAAAAAACAAAAAAAAATTAAATCCTTATGTAAATATTTAAATGAACTTATCAGAATTACTTTGTAGGTGTTTTTTTCACTAACATTATCACACAGTTACTTTATTTATCAAAACCCTTTGATTCCAAAATCTTTTTATAATGAAAGAACAGGAAGCAGTTATTCACTTTTTTTATAATTGTTGAATGCAATAATGATAGAAGTGAAGATAAAAAAGAGTTTTATTATTAAGGTGTTCTTCTGAAAATTCATATAAAGTTAGCCTTCTGCTATAGGCACTCTTTGGCCATATCAGTTGTACTAATACTTCATACAAAGTTAGCCTTCTGCTAAAGGCACTCTTTGGCCATATCAGTTGTAGTAACACTTCAACAGTAAAGGTTAGAGGCCTTCAGTAGGTGACTATTGTGTCCAACAGTAAAGTGTAGGAAAGACCTGCTACAGAAACCAATTTACTGAAGGACACATTAATGTAGAAGTCATGGAAATCTCCACAAATTGATCAGTTCCTATACTCTGTGATCTTGGTAGCAGTAGGTCTGCTTCTGAGGATGAGTTGTCTGGAAGTTTTAAGTGACACTTTGTATGAAGAAAGCACTCACTATACATATGTATATGCAAGCTTTCTTCTGATTTTTTTTCCACTGACATTTCAACCCATTCTATAGTTTAAGTTTGATGGAGGTGTTTTTTTTTAATTCAAAGTAACTCCTTTTATTTGCTGCATGCTTATTAGGCAAAATAGTTGTCATTCCAATTTCGATTGTATAATACTATGTTAAAATCTGTGAATGAATTTACATTTCACAGATTAAATTATAGGTCTTACTTTAGAATCAGAAACCTTTTGTCAAAAGTCAAGAGGGACTGTATTCTCAACACTTTTTAAAGTTTGAATATACATTTACATTGTTGTATTGAGCACCGTGGGTTTTAATTAATACAATTTGAGGTGGACTTGGAATGTTGCATATTAAATACATAGATTTTTCTTCCTTGTGGGAATTATTGTTGTATAATAAAAACTGTCTTGTTACAATCAATAGATAAATATTGACAGCTGATGGGACGGAATCAAGAAGTCTCCGTCATTTCTGTCTCCCATCACTGATGTTGATTCATTAAGTCTATGTACTATAGACCTCAGTGTTTGTTGACATACAATGTCAACACAAGGATGAAAGTCATTATGTTCTCACACAATGGACTTTGGATCTTTGTAAAACCCTTTTCTTTGAAACATTTATTGTTCAAATGCATTGAAAATGGCATCCAATAATTGAGTTTGATGTATGTGTAATTCATTGCTTTGATGTGGTTAAAACTATAGGTAAATTGAAGGGTATATTTAAAGGGGGCTAAAGAATTACTAGAATTGGGGATTACATTTGGAAACAAACTAACATTTGCTTAGTTCTGAATTTGTTGCCAATATTGGCTATTGAATGCGTAGTGATAATTGGGTAAATTTTGAAAAACTTACACAGTATAGGATGCATTGTTCAAAGAAATTTAATTGGTCAATAATTCAGTGGTTCCTTTCTGTTATGTGAAATGTACTCTTGTAATTTCAAAATTATATAGGAGATCATTATAAACAGATTTGTAAATTATGTAGAAAACCCTGGTCTGTTACACTCAGATCCTAAGTTGTTATTTTAGTGTGTGACTGTTAAAACGTCACCATGTGTATAATTGGTAACTTGAGACATTCCATAAATCTAAAAAAGAGGAGATGGTTTGAAATCAATATTCTGATACGTTCTTAATGATTTTATCTAATTATATCAAATCTCTCCAATAGAATGTATTGAACACAGATAAAAATAGTGAGGAAATCTGAGACATCTGTGTACCCAGAATGAATAGAGAGTATTTAGGGATTTTCATGATCTGATCTAATCCAGTAAACAATATTGGGGTATACTCTCTTGACTGACATATGCTAATCTGTTTACAAGGAGGATAAATGAAATGTCTGGTGAATCAGATTGTACAATATTTAATAAATAAAGGTGAAAGTTTTCCTGTTGACGATCGATACATCAGGGCTGACAAACTGTTTGTCTTCTCCTCGACTCTTTGACTCGGTATATAATGAATCATTTCTTATTTTCAGTCGCTACAAAGCCCTCGAGAGCATGATGGAGGAAGCTCTTAAGAAGAGCATGGAAATCAAAGAAGAAAAAATACATGCTTTAGAGAGCAGGTAATGTCACCACTCACTTCCCTTGAATGGGTCAACAGCTAAGCCTTAGATAAAAGCCGAGGTTACCATCTGGTGAATTAAATCAGTTCTATTTACCACCCGCAGACTCTACAAACTCTGTTACTTTGTTTCTTATTTTGATTTGAAATAGAAGCTATAAATTTAAGTGGTCACAGATATGAATACTGCACCGCTAACCTTTAAGTTGACATTATTAAATAAAACAGGTTGAGGGGATTTGCAATCACAAGAATACCCCTCCATCCAATACTTCCCCCCCCCCCCCCCCCCCCCCCCCCCAAAAAAAAATTTAATGAAAAATTCAACAGAGAGGTGAACATAATATTAAATTGTAACCTTTTCTTAGTCTGCTACAAAATGAACATGTATTAATTCCGTAATTTTTTTTTTACCTTAGACTTGAAGAGTCTAAAAATCGTAACCTGAAGCTTCAGGAGGAGTTACGAATCCTGAAGCGGGAGTGTGAGTCGCTGAAGCAGCGGTACGAGGAGGAATCTCACGGCAGGGATACGGACAGGTGAGCCACAAAAGTCAGCTAATGTAACCCCTCATATAGAATCCCTCATATAGAGGGGAATTAATCTCACTGCAGGGATACAAACAGGTGAGCCACTAAATACAGCTAACGTAACCCCACATGTAGAGGGGAATTAATCTCACTGCAGGGATACAGACAGGTGAGCCACTAAATACAGCTAACGTAACCCCACATGTAGAGGGGAATTAATCTCACTGCAGGGATACGGACAGGTGAGCCACTATAGTCAGCTAACGTAACCCCACATATAGAGGGGAATTTATTCCTTGTTAAATATAATCACATTTGATTTTCAAGGAGAATGTGCTTCTGTAAGATGATCATCATATACATTATGATTTTGTGCTTTACCTAGAAGAGAGACAGCAGGTTTACTGAGGGTGCCACCAGCTTACCTCCGCTCCAACAGTCAGAGCACCACCAAAGAAATCCTGGAACTGAAGGACCACCTAGTTCAAGTAGAGAGAACAGTACGTGGAAAAGGAGCTTTTATTTAAATAATTAATGTAGAAAATAAATGGAAACTGTAGCCATATAAATATATAGACAGATAACAAAAGTTTAAAAAACTTTCTTTTCAGAATGCAACAATGATGGCAGAGAACAAGAATATGAAATCTCAGACAAATGCTTTGAATGAACAGATAAAGAAACTTGAGAACCAGAATGTTAAACTTCAGTCTGAGAATTCCTCCCTCCAGCAACAGGGGCATTCCATGCAGTCAGGCAATGCTAAACTTCAGGTGGAGAACTCTACCCTCAAGTCCCACTGTTCCTCCCTACAGGGTCAGGTCTCATCTCTCCAGACCCACATGAACCAGTTAGAGACTGAACACCAGCACCTGATCCAGACCCATGAGGAGCTGCAGTCCTCACACGAGGAACTGGTTCAGGATCACGAAGAGCTACAGAGAATTCACGAACAATTGACCTCCGAGTACGAGGGTTTAATTTCCGAGCATGGCTCACTGAAGTCCGTTCATAAGGCGATAAAAAATGAAAATAAAGAACTTCACGAGCAGCTGAGTCGCAGTGTTCAGGGGAAGGATCAGCTGAATCAGATGCAGATGGAGCTGAAGTCGATGAGGAAGTTACAGGAGGAGAACGCGTTACTGCGGAACGAACACGACAGAACGGCCAGTCAGTACGAGAAGTTACGCACCGACTACAGGGATCTACTGGCCGATCACAAGAAAGTCAAAAACGAGTTAAACCAGGCTCAGCTGAGGAACACGGACCTCCAGGGTCAGTGTGGGGAGATGAAGGACCAGCTACACACCATGGAACTGGAGATCAGTGGACTCGGTCACAAATACGACGTAAGTACAGCAGATTAATTAACTGTCCTCATGGGTTTAGAACTAACTCTTGCTTGTGATAATAAAGTTATTATTCATTACTCAAAAAAAGATTATGTAAAAAGCTAAGATTTCTAAAAATATTCATGAAAAGATTTTATTGTAGACCCTTTATCAAGTTAACCAAAAGATGGAGGAAGACAATAAAAACCTGTTGATGCAGATTCAGACCCTGCTGAATTCAAACCAGGATCTTCTGTCCCAGATACTTGACAGCAAGGAGCATTTCAATGAGGAGGAAAAGTCCTACTTGTAAATATCATCACATAATAGTAACATTGTAAACTTGTGTATTTGTAATTCCATATCACTGCTTCTTGATGTTTGGATAAAACCATCCTTTGGTATATATAAATATAGGTATAAGATACCAAGTAATAGTTGAGCATAAGGTCTTGTGTATTAAGTATCGGTCATGGCCCAATTAATGGTAAAGTTAGAATTAGACCTTGTGCAGTAGGTAATTTAGTCATTGGTAGTTTGTTATTAGGAAAACAAGGTAAATCTGTGAAGCATTTAAGATTGATGTATTAATTTTCTGAATTTGGTTTCTTTCCATTTTTCTGCCAGAGAGAAGATGAATGATTTAAAGAGACAGAAGGAGAGACTGGAGGAGAAGATAATGGAGCATTACAAGAGACAGGACAACCAGAAAAAGTAAGTCTTAGTGATCAGAAAAAGTAAGACTCAGTGATCAGTAAAAGTTAAAAGTCAGTAATCAGTAAAAGTTAAAAGTCAGTAATCAGTAAAAGTTAAAAGTCAGTAATCAGTTAGACAACCAGATAAAGTAAGACTTAGTAATCAGTAAAAGTATGCTTAATAATCAGTAAAATTGTGAAAAGAAAGTTTTTTACTTTCACTCAGATGAATGGTTTCTCTTCTTTTCCCACTTTGACTGTAATACAGGGTGTAGGGGGTGTTAAAAATTGATATCGTGAAAAGCGTCTGAAGTAAACATTTTATCTTTTGTTACCAATTAGTGTTCAGTCAAAGGTTGGAAGGTGAGTTTATAGGAGAAGTAGAATGGGAATCTGATTAAAAAAACAATGTAGACTGATCTGGGTTGTAACAAAATTTTGATAGTTTAGATTTTTATCTTCATTTAACATTAGATATTTGCTTTATAATTAACTTTTAAAGAAGTTTACTTAAGAATGGAGATTGAGTATTGGTTAATTTATTATGTTTGGGGCAGGGGTTAAATGGTGGGAGTTTATTTTTTTTAATAGGAAAAAGACTGACTAAGAATCAAAGCAAAAGGTTTAAAGAGAACAAACAAAAATAAATGAGTTGTTGATTCAGCATGGAATGATCCATTAACTGTAACTGAACTTCACTGAATTGTCAATTTGATTTTTTACAGGAACAGGGGTCTAGGAGCTCGAATCGCAAGAAAGGCTGCTAGAATTTTTGCCACCAAAGTAAGGGCTTTAAATAAATATTTTAAATTTATTTATGTATTTATACAAGATATTAAGTTTCTGAAGTTTTGATAAAAAAAATTCTGGTTGAAATAGAAATAATTGATTTATTTTGTATGTATATACATGTATATTTTTCAGCACCCCAGAAGTAAAAGCAGAACTAACTTAGCAGAGACCACTGGAGATAACTCACTGCTAGGGGACACAACTGATGGTAGATCAGGTGAGTGATCTCCCTTTGATTTGTGTTTTGCTAGGCAGCCTCTCCTTACCTTCACTGTTAGACAGATTACCCCAGATATAAAGAATCACTCAGAATAATTACTGGAACTGATATGGCATTTAAAAAATGTAGATGAATTATTTTTTTTTTCTTGGAAACTTAAAATATAAGTTTATATATAAAATATCTTCAAATGTTAAAGTAAAGTGTGGAAATAACTTTTTTATGCCAAATATTAAAGTGTGCACAAGAAATAAATCACAAAATCTCATGATTAACTAGCTGTAACAGTGCTCATACTGACTGCATGTTCAGTGAATACATAATATATTAATTAGTATTTCTAGAGATAGAGTTCACCATAGGGCACATTTCTTCTTCCATTTCATGAAGTTGGATACATTCTGAAAAATCTTAAGAACATTTCAAACATCTTCACAAGATATTGTACCTCCCATTCATGCTCATGCTATATCAGCTTGATATGGTTAGTAACGATTCCATTAATGGTGTCCTTTCCTATATCAGCTGGTTAGTAACGTTTACATTAATGGTGTCCTTTCCTATATCAGAGCTGCAATCCAGTCGCCCGGTTAGTATGTGGAACATTACTGATGAGCCATCACTAGCAAAACAAAACACCAGTCTGGCCAAATCAGCTGGTGCCCTCAATCAGTCTGATAAAATTGGGGAGGGACCGTCGTTCTCCTCCAGAGGTAAAGCCTTCCTAGGGTTTCTACTTTAACTGACTGTTTCTCTTAGTTTACAATGAAGACTTAATAACCCTGAATGCAGTTCTTTTTGTTTTCTGCAGCTAAGTTTTAGAGAATTTTAATTTTAGTTTGGAGTTTTTTTTATTAGATTTGGTTTTGGTTGAGCATTGTTTACATTCATTTTCTTTTCATTTCCATTATCTTAATATCATTTCCTATCAATTCTGTGATTCTCCTGTCAATAGTACATCTTATATACAGATTATATAAGAGCCTATATCACTATGAATTTTCTTCTTATAAATTTCAATTAACTTCAGTTATCCCCCTTTCCTGTTTGCTTGTAGAGAGCTTTGTCTAGAATTAAATGACGGCTTTCGTACGTCTCTCTCATATGTGTTTAGTAGTCAGTTGTGTTGTCTGTGTTCCTAATGCGAATTTATTCTTCCCACAATTCCTAGGAGCCAAATCGGCTGAGGACCTATTAGCGGACTCCACGCGCAGTAACCATGACAAAGAGTCATTTTCCTCTAGTAATTCTACCAATCTGTTGCCAGGTAACAGCAGGACATGGACAAGCTTGGCTTACTGCATGTGTTCATTGTATATTACTTCCCTCATTTAGAGCTTTTTAATGGTGATGGAGGTTTGAACTGTACTGCATGTTAATATTTTCATGTGTACACTATTTATAAATAATATATTGTTTTCAGCATTAAATCAAATACTGTTTTCAGCATAATCTTGGTTTCTTGTTTCCCATTTATCTTCATAGCACATTTTAACTATTCCATTTATATTCATAACCATGCACATTTTCAGCACTAGTACCAGTAAATTCATTTGATTCTTTAGCTGCATATCTTCAGTTAAATTTAGATTTTGTTCAGCATGACTTTTAAGTAGTTAATTTCTGACTGGAATGGAAATTCCCTGAGCTTGCCAACTTCATTTAAAACAAAATTATCAGGAACAATAAAACCACACATTCCTTGCTTGCTTTCACTGCTATTTTTAGTTTTAAAGTACAGCCAATTTTTTATGATTGGCCAGTTAATTACCAATTCTGTTTCTTTTTTTTTTCCTATGTAGAAAGTAATGTTTAAATGGAGCCCAATTTACTTAAAACTTTCTTTTTCTTCCAATTCTTACAATATGGAATTTTTGCAATAATTTTAAAAAAGTAAATTAGTTTGAATTTCCCCCCCTAAAAACTGCAACCATTTAAACAATTTTTATGTGCTAATTCTAAAGCTGACTCCACTAGCTTCATTTTTTTTTTGAAGGGAAGGATGCATACTGAGCATATCTACTAGTTTAAAAAATCTGATTAGCAGTGCTTCAAATAAGATTGGCTGTTGTTTGAAAATATAAAAAAAAAATGTATTTAAAAATGATTGATTTGAACATATTTTATTGTTTAACAAAAAAGGATCAGAAGAAATAATGATTAAAACTCACTTGTGTCAAAGGGGTAAAGGGGGTTCAAGTTTTGTTTGTTACATCAAACATCTATATATATGTATGAAATCACAACGAACAGGTGCTATTTGTTTCTCGATGTCATATGTATACTTTAGCTGTTTCACAAGAATTTTTTAGAGATTCTGATTCATGTCTTTACTGAGTATTTCAGCCATTGACTTATAATAACAATTGTTTTTCTTTTCATGATTCCTAAACATACTGTTCAACATTTGATCTATGTTTTTTTCAAGCCTGATGTTTTTTGCGCCTTTCATATATATATATATATATATATATATATATATATATATATATATATATATATATATATATATATATATATATATAAATATGTTGTGTACTTAGACTGACCAAACATCTACGCGGGCTGACCAGACACGTACTTCTTTATTTCAGGTCTGGGACATCCCGCGATGCTCGGAGATGATGACGATGATGATGGAGGATTCGGATCAGTGGTACAACCAAACGAAATGATGACTCTAGAAGAATTCCTCAACGAGGCCAACAAAGGCTCACCCAAAACAGTATGTACACGTAGTTAATTCATCTGAGCTAATGCACATCTCTTACAACTTAACTATTTGCCCTATGTTTGTTAATGTTTATTAAAAGATTCCATCCCAAATGGAATTTAAAAAGGCACAACAAAATCAGAAGGAATATTTTTTGATGGATTACACATAGAGGAACATGTATGTTATTTTATTGTTGTTTATATTTTTTCTAGAAATCAGCAGAATCCAGGAGTCAGGAAGACACAGAATCCAAGAGCAGTGAGAACTCGGACAACAGTGGAAAGAAGAACTTCAGGAAGCGGCATGCCCCCGCTCCACCCCTGCAGATGTCCACCCCTCCACAAAGTGGTTCTAACCCTCGCATATTCTCATCTATACCTGATGTGGCAGCAGTCTCTTCTCACCTTGACCTCTCCAGAATGTCAAGGATATCCGGAGGCAGCAGTGGGAGTGGCCATGACAGTCGCCCAGACGACCATTCCACCCCCCCTCACAGCATCAGGGGTCACCCCGAAACCTCTACCCCTGCTGTGACGTCCGCCAGCCACCGACTGAATAACGGATCATTTGAGGATCTGAATCAGTGCTCCCCCCTAACGGGAGACACTCGTCGCTTCACTGCCAGCTCTACCCCGTCATCTGCATCCCGCACTCTTCAGTATTCATTTGGAAATTCACCCCAAAATTATTCTGTCCACTCTCCGCAGTCTCGTGAATTACCTCCCACCCCCGCTAACAATTCTGACAGACTAGCACCATCAGATAGACTCGATAGACTTGTGTCCAGCAACCTTCAATCATCTAGTCCTCAAAATAATTATGATTCATCCGTAAGATCAGGGAGTGGACAAGATAGAAGTGGTCAAAATTTATCTGACAAACCCCCTCTATCTCGAGGGTTCACCCCCCAAGGCCCTCAAAACCGGCCTCAAAACTTACACACATCAGGTAAACATGGGCCGTCCCCTAACCCCCAGTACCGCCCCCAGCAAAACTCATACTCCTCATACCCAGGGCCATCACAAAATGGTCCTTACCAGCCCTCATCAGGGTACAGTGAAAATGTGAAAAACCCATCAAACAGTGATAGCAATAGAAGACTGAGCATGCATGAAGCAGGTTCTCAGCAGAATATTTATTCTAGTATTGACGATACGCGGTCTAGAGGGTATAGTTCTTCTCAGACTAATCTCAATAACAGTGGAAACCTCAACAACCATAACAGTGCAAACATAGCAAATGGACCATATAGGAACCCCTCAAGTGAGGAGAGCCATTATGCCAGAATTCAGAGAATTGAGAGACCTAAATCAGTCCCTCCAGGTGTTATGAACCAGCAGTCTCCCTCAAAGAATGACAATATGTATTCTCAGCCCAACAAAACGCCTCCCGTACCCCCACCAAGGCGACTCAAGGACAGTACTACAGCCACACGGTTACTACGGGAACCATCGCAAGGTCACCCATCACAAGGTCGTCATATCATAGCCAGCAGGAACTCCACTCCCCCTAGTGGTAACTCAAGGCAGCTACCACAAGGGGGAATAACTCGTTCTCAGACTTCAATGGGTGTCAGAATTGGCCCCCCTGTTAAACAGGTCAACAACACCCCACCACCCCCAAAAGTCATGAACAACGAACCCAAAGATCCAAAGGAGAAGAATTCAGTATGGTACGAGTATGGGTGTGTTTGATATCCACTTTATTGTTTGACAATGCATAGTATATCTAGTGTGTGTGTTTTAGTGGGAAGTTGTATATCAGAGTATTGTATTAGGATAAATGGCACATTTTATAGGGGGTTCATACTGTTTTCACTCAATTTCTTTATGGTAGGCGGTGTTACCAAGGTTATGGGGAATTCACTAACTTTTTGTAATCTATAAATTGTATATTTTGCAATAGGTAGCATGCTTTATATTACCTTTTTTTTTTTAAAAATAAAATTGGATATTATCAAAAAAAGTTCTTTGGAAAATTGATTTTTTTTTTTTACAATTTTCTTATTAAACTAACCAGCCCAAAATATTCTCATAGTTTTAATTATTTTTTTTTTTTAAATTTCATTTTATTTTGGATGAATTTGTAGCTGAATGTGGATTTTTCTTTTTCCAGCAGGGCAACAAGGTGTTAATGCATGTCATCACAGGATCTGGTATAGATTGTCTCCCTTTGAAGGAGTGGCATTAAGTTCGAATCACACATATTTATTGTTTGCATGCTTCACTGTAGTCATCTCTAGCTTGCACTGCTTCAGTATTATCTGACATTTATCTACAAAAAATAAAATCAGAGTTGATTCTTAAACTTTCAGCACCTGAAGAGTTTGATAGATAATTCACTCTCAATATTTTTATTTTTCTGGCTTTTTGTTCCTTTTTCTGTTTTTAACCTAGTATAAAAAATGTTCAGGTGCTAGATTTGGATTGTTTTGACCTTGTTAATCCTCACTTGTAGAATTCTGACCATAATCTTGGTGACATTAATGTAGCCACACTATTATACAGAGAACTGCTTCAGAAACTAATTTATATTTCAAGGGAAGTAATCAGTGAAGTGTGTAGTTTGGCTGCTAATATCCTTGCATGTAGCATGGTAACCATTTTTTGTTTACCATTTAAGTTTACAAATTTACATATAACTTAATACATGAATGACTTTCATACATTGTGAATTTTACTTTTCCATCTTTCCAATATTTTCCATTATGTTGTACAATCTTTATTACTGGAACATTTATGTGCACAGATATTAAAAAAAAGAATAATTTATTTGGATACAGATTATTATATAAATGGCTTTGCTCTTATAAATGTGATAGTATCAAATGTACTTAATTATATACTTTTTAATTTACTGTACAATGGGATTTTCATTGGTTAGTAGTACAGTATTTATAAAATGACCTAGTGTTCTCAGTATTGTTACAAATCTTACCACACCATTTCCTCGAGCTCAATGCACACTATACAAAATACATACTCTTCTCTACTCTGCATTCCTAGAACATAGCACTCAGTATTGCACAAAAGTACTTATAAACATACATATACAGTACATCTAAACTTATGTACTCAAGTCTCAGGCAGTTTTAATCCTGATTGTGTATTTGTTAGACTATGATATAAATTTGTTGCCAGTATACTTAAGCAGTTATTTTTCTTACTTGTGGAAAATTTACATTCCAACTTTGATATGTGATAACCGTACAGGGTTGTGATTAACCTTCATATACACAAGCAAAATGTTATATCGTGTGCCTTATATATTTTCTTATCTTCGATTTAACAAAAAGTTGCATCTGAAAAGGCATACTAGGGTGATCTCGTGTGTAATTCTACAAATCCACTGTACTTATTCTGATCATTTTTTCCAGGGTATTAACATCAATGTACTTTTTGCTCTTGTATTTCATAATTCCATCCAAAAAAAGGCATGCAATTTTCCTTTTTTGTACATTTTTTATCCTCCCCCTACAATTGCTTTTCACACACAAATCCGTCCAGCTTGATTATTCATCTAGTCCCCAGGTGCTTGTTAGATGCATTTTGGAGTGTTTTGCTCATGGATGTACACTGCATTTAGCAATACAAGTGTGTAATATCTAGACTTTCTTACATGGACTAGGTTTCCAAAGCATCACAGGGACATACAGACCATTTTACTTTTTATGATTATATTTAATGAGTGTCTCATCAATTGATGTTTACTGTTGCTTTCTTTTAAAAAGTGAAAAATTCTTTACAACTGGAAATATATTTTTTTATGTTTATTATTGGCAATACATATACTTTTGAAATGTACTAAAAAATCATGCTCATAAATTGTATAGTTAATTTTGTACATATGTATTGTTTATTTGTACAAAATGTTAATTTATGTCTCCTTTGAGTACAATTAAATATGGTCCAAAGAGATCCATTTCTTTTCTTATTTTTTGCTACAGTCCATGGTTTTCCAATTAACAACTTGTATTACAAAGTAGGTTAGTGATAAACAAGTTGTTGAAACAGGAAAATCAGCACTCTCATTTCAAGTTTTCAATTCAAACAATTTTGACGTCTGCAAATACAACCATAACAGGTGAAGAAAATGTTGGCTAGATGGACTTGAACCTGGGACCTCCCACTGATTGTCGGGGTGCTTTTCCACTGACCTGCTTTAGGCCATCCTTAAAAAATTTTTTTTTTGCGGTAACGCGCCTCATCATTTTAGGTGTGGGTAGGTAGGTAGGCTTATTATTTTTTTTTTTTTTGGAGACAAAAAGTCAGAATTAAATTTCGATTATATAGAGGTATTAACTATGTCTTAGATTTCACTTTAAGTTACTAATCAAACAAGAAAATTAAGGCATTCTTAATGAATCCAATCTTTTATTGTTCAAATATCAGAACACATCAGTTCTTTTTTAAAAACGGTGTCTACAGGTGCAATGGGGACGTAAAAAAATGTCAATAGGATAAAATTAGAAAATGGATATGTAAAAAAAAAAAAAAAAAAAAAAAAATTTTTGAACCCATAAAAAAAATCCAGTAGGGTGGATTTTGGTGAGTCGGTCGCGTTACCGCAAAAAAACAATTTTTTGAGGATGGCCTTAGAGTCACAAAGTAAGAAGTTGATCCTTATGTCCTGGGTTCAAATCCCACTGTGGGACTTGGAGACAGGTCCTTCTGATGAGAGCAAGGTCCCACGTCGCAATAAGTGCTGGCACCAAACAAATCCCTCCCTGCTCAATGGCCCTGAGTGCCGAGTATAAGACAAACTTTGTAGCCCTCCACCGGCGAGTGATGGCGTCTCCATATGAGTGAAAAATTCACCAAGTGGGACATTAACCCCCTTCCCAGCAGTCACGCATTTTAACGCATATACCACTTCCTATTTCTAACACAAAATCACATATATACCGTTTCCCCGCAATCATGCATTTTCATGCACTTTAAAAGTCATGTAATCATCAAAGTATTGCCAAATTCCTTCTATTTCATACTTGCTGGAATCTCAAAAAATCAGAAGAGTTATTTTTAGCTCACCTGAGCTGAAAGCTCAAGTGAGCTTTTCTGATCACATTTTGTCCGGCGTCCGTCTGTCTGTCCGTCTGTCCGTCTGTCTGTAAACTTTTCACATTTTCGACTTCTTCTCAAGAACCGCTGGGCCAATTTCAACCAAACTTGCCACAAAGTATCCTTGGGTGGAGGGGATTCAGGTTTGTTCAAATGAAGGGCCACGCCCTCTTTCAAGGGGAGATAATTGGGAATTAATGAAAATTTGGTGGCATATTTAAAAAATCTTCTTCTCAAAAACCACTGTACCAAGAAAGATGAAACTTGGAGAAACATCCTCAGGTAATGTAGATTCAAGTTTGTTCAAATCATGACCCCTGGGGGTAGGGCGGGGCCAAAATGGCCAACCAAAGTTTTACATAGAAATATATAGGTAAATTCTTTAAAAATCTTCTTCTCAAGAATGACAAAGCCATAATTCATCATATTTATATGGAAGCATGCTCAGGTAGTGAAGATTCAAGTTTGTTCAAATCATGACCCCCGGGGGTAGGGCGGGGCCAAAATGGCCGACCACAGGTCAACCTAGAGATATAACTGACACTTCATTACATAAGTTCGTTACTACTATGACAAAGCCATAATTCATCATATTTATATGGAAGCATGTTCAGGTAGTGTAGATTCAAGTTTGTTCAAATCATGACCCCCGGGGGTAGGGCTGGGCCAAAATGGCCTACCAAAGTTTTACATAGAAATATATAGGAAAATTCTTTAAAAATCTTCTTCTCAAGAATGACAAAGCCATAATTCATCATATTTATATGGAAGCATGTTCAGGTAGTGTAGATTCAAGTTTGTTCAAATCATGACCCCCGGGGGGGCCAAAATGGCCGACCAAAGTTTTACATAGAAATATATAGGTAAATTCTTTAAAAATCTTCTTCTCAAGTATGACAAAGCCATAATTCATCATATTTATATGGAAGCATGTTCAGGTAGTGTAGATTCAAGTTTGTTATGAAGGGCGGGGCCAAAATGGCCGATCAAAGTTTTACATAGAAATATATAGGAAAATTCTTTAAAAATCTTCTTCTCAAGAATGACAAAGCCATAATTCATCATATTAATATGGAAGCATGCTCAGGTAGCGTAGATTCAAGTTTGTTCAAATCATGACCCCCGGGGGTAGGGCGGGGCCAAAATGGCCGACCAAAGTTTAACAAAGAAATATATAGGAAAATTTTTTAAAGATCTACTTCTCAAGAATGACAAAGCCATAATTCATCATATTTATATGGATTAGCATGCTCAGGTAGTGTAGATTCAAATTTGTTCAAATCATGACCCCCGGGGGTAGGGTGGGGCCAAAATGGCCGACCAAAGTTTTATATAGAAAAATATTGGAAAATTCTTTAAAAATTCAAGAATGACAAAGCCATAATTCATCATATTTATATGGAAGCATTGTTAGGGCAGGGCCAAAATGGCCGCCAAAGTTTTTAAAGATATATATGGCACAAATTCACAAAAATGAAGTTTTGTTAGGAGTTTACAAACCGTAAACTATAGTTAACAACGTTAATCTATATTTCACGTCTGTAAACCATAGTTAACGCGATAATCTATGTTTCACAACCGTAAACTATACTTAACACCGAAAACAATCATTTGCTATTGCAAAACATAGATTATCTGATAAATACAGTTTCACGATTTGTAAAGTATAGTTTACAAACCGTTAACTATCTGATAAATATAGTTTCACAATTTGTGAAACTATGATTAACAACTCTTAACTATAGGGATACAAACGTGAATCTATGTTTATCAACAAAATCTATTGTTAACGCTTTATTAAAGTCAGATAAACTTAAATTAACATGGCACCTGATCCCGCATCGGTAACTATAGTTTAGGGTTTGTAAACTATAGTTTACAGTCGATAAACCTAGTTTATCAATTGTGAAACTATGATTATCTCATTTTTGTGAATTTGGCGTGCCATAGATATATATAGGAAAATTCTTTAACAATCATTTTCTAAAAAATAGCAAATCCAGGATTGGTCATGGGACTACTTTTGGATGTAAACTTTACAATAAAAAGCCATTTTGTACTTTTTTCTACCCTTAGTGCTCAGGTGAGCGATGTGGCCCATGGGCCTCTTGTTTATTTAAATAATACGTCACAATATTATTTATGCTCAACTTCAGAGAAACTTGTGCTATGCTAAAAAGTGCTTGCAGGGAAATGGTAAAAACATATTTCTATAATGTGAACATAAAGTGTATGTTGCGTAACAATTCGGTAAGTTGTAAAGAGTTAAACAACATACAATTAATCTTCCACTGACCTTACGCCAATGTACCCGATCCCTTTTAATCTATCGTATATCAAGTCAAATTCTGATGGACAATTTCATACTATAATTGTTAGGCAATACAGAACGGTGACTATGGTGCAAGGGATGCTTACTCCTCCATGGCATCTGATCCCACCTCTGATGATTGGTTCCTGTTTGCTGCTCCTGATTTGTATTGTTTAAATTAGCCCTGAAGTTTACTGTTAGCAATACAGAACGGGACTATGGTGGGCGGAGCTACTTTCCGTTCTGTATTAGCCCTGTATACATGTACCGTATACTATTTGCCAACTATTCTGTATCTAAAATACAGCACGGTCTAAAAATAAATCTGATTCAATTTCAATATCGCACGAGTCTCCACCCCCAAATTTGTATCTACGATACAGAACCTGTCTCGTTCTCTAAATAATACTAGTCATTTTCTCCATATACCACCCACTAACCTGTATATGTCTTGGTTCCTTATGCATTATGCTAGAACAAGAAAGTGAACCAAGACTATACCTACAGTGTTCATGACATGTATCTTCTGGCATTTCCTTGTTTATTATGTATAATCTGTGCATGGATTCCCTGTGTACAGGAACATTTATAGAAATCTAGTATTCTCTGCATATATAGGTACAGGACTAGTTCTCCATATAAATCTGTACTTAGTAAGTCACAGAGAGATACTCCATCCAATGTCACAAGTGTTTGAACATATATAAAACTGCTACTTTACCATAATCTTAAAATTTAAAATATGATGTCATTCATTTTATTTATTTATTAGTTAACATGACAAATATACTGGAAAACAATTGATCCACAAAAGAGACTGTCTAAAAGGAAACCATGTGAAACTTCTGCCAATTCATTTATAAAAATTCAAATAACAAATTTCATTTACCCTAAACATGCTAAATGACATTAGTTAAATTTTTATATGAAAATCAAAAAAAATCTTGCATCTCTCCATAAAAAGCTAACACTGTTTTTAATCACTCATAAAAGATGATGATGTTGGTCACTCAATGCAAGCTGACTGAAGTGGACAACCAATCAGATGGTATTTTACAACTTATCACATTCTCCATCAATCAGAACTTGAATCATCATTTCCCAAGCTTACACATTCTCCACCAATTGGACGACTTCTCTCACCACTTTCCACCAATCAGACGACTTCTCTCACCACTTCCCCCGTTTGCTCCAGTCTTTAGGCTGCCAGTGTAGACACTTGGGGTCGATTCGTACCTTGCGTTTTTCCATAGCTTTCATCTGAGTGTCAATCTGTTCGTGAGACAGAGTGATGATATACTGCCCCTTGTAATAGTTAATCAGGTTTAAGTGTTGTAAGGTGGATATCACATCCTCTTTTTTGATGCTTGTCATTTCTGAGATTTCGCTGAAATATGTAAGTATGTCAACTTCAGTATACATAATTTTTTTTAAAACATCTGTAGTATAAAGTTTCACATAAAACAAACGAAAATAAATAATTATGTATATAACGGACAGTATTTTAAAATCATACGTATTTTCATTTTTTTTTGGCAGGATCCATATTTTAGCACTTGTATTTTCTCTACATACACATGTACATTACTTACTCCTGATCACTGTTAAAATATGAATATGCTACATTTAAATTGTATTGGAAAATATTCTGTTTAATTTTGAGTTGTCAATCAATTCCTTACTTGATGGTGACCACCGCTCTATCGTTTCCCTCTGAAGGCGTCATGTTGATGAGGATTTCCAGCAGAGTCTGAGACCAATAGCTTCTGTAGGACAGCAGGCCGAGGTCAGACAGGGGCTTCTCCGGAGATCCCGTCTTACCCTCACACTTAGACAGCTCGTAACCTTCAAAAACAAAGACAACAGAATGTCACACGAACTACCAAAGGATACAACTTGGAATTCAATCAGAACCCATAGGGTAACTATGTTTTTATGGAGTGCTGGAACTATGAAAAGGTACCTACTGAATTCTATGAGGAGTTTTCCAAATCCTTTCTTCTGGTAGGGAGGTAGAGTAAGAATACAGGCCACATTGTAATCCTCTGTCGACTCCTTCTCCTACAATCAGAATTAACATGTACCAGGGGTAAATGTGCATTATTATCTCTTTTTGAAAGAGAAAGTGCAGAGTAGATTCAAGATGTAGCAAAATCTTTTTCCCATTTTATTTTTTGTCATTAAACCGAGTCTCAAAGTTATATTGCTCAGCTTTCATAATAATACTAGTGCTCCATGTAAGATGTTAGAGTAATGTAGAAAGAAATCTCACTTTGGAGAAATAGCCCACAATATGGTATCCTTTGACATCTTGTTCACACATTACATAGAAAAGGAAGGGATCTGTGTCATAATACAAAGTCTTGTGATCTAAAAAGAGCTTGGCCAGGAGACAGAGATTCTGAGCATATGCCTGAAAGTTAAAAGATTTTCAAATGTTGAATAAAATCACTGAAATTACAATAGTATCTAAAGCATTCCATACTGAGAAGAATTAAAGTTATCTAAAAGAAAGAAATCAAAAGAAAATACCTTATTTTTCCTCCCATCAATTTCAAAGAATGATATGTTTCCTTTTCTGTAGATTTCATTTCCAGGGGGATATCGTAGGAGGCACTTTTGCTGTAAAAAAAAATACTGTGAAATCACAAATTTCGTGGGGGTTTATTTTTTGTGGTATGAAGAAACCCACGAATTTATGTCCTCCATGAAATGTATTTTTTCACAGATGTTACTACTCTTCATCCACAAAATTAAATCCCTATGAACCAATACTTTTTCCTCAAGCCACGAAAATTTGACCCCTCGAAAATATGTGATTTTACAGAAGTTTAAGTTATTATAAAAAAAAATACAGTGTCTGCAAAGGAGTTAAAATATTCTGAATCAAAATTGAAAAGAATAAGAAGGAAAACATGCACAGTTTATAAATGTTACTTACGATATGTCTTTCTAGGCACTTTTTACTTTTCACATATTTAAGACAAAATTCACAAATGTACAAAATGGGCAATGATGTTAATTCCTGAAAAAAAAAAAATTATATATATAAAAATTGAGATGGTGAGACACGTAGAATCATCATTTTTACTGGCATCAAATAGAAACTTAGTTTGCTGTTCTTGAGAAGATTTTGAAATATTTCTTCCAATATACTATGCAAGTTTGCTTGAAATTGGTCCAGTGGTTTTTGAGAAGTCAAAAAATATGAAAGGTTTACTGAGAATCAAACAAACAAATAATAGGTCGGTAAATCTTTTTCTTATGAATAAAATAGAAGCGGGAGTTTGAAGCCTTTCTCTAAATGTGAATGTAAAGAAGATGGATGATTTTTTTCATGATAACTGGATATATCTGTAACAAAGACATTTTTTCTGGGGATTGAGCCCGGGGCTCTGGCTTGCTAGTCCAGTGCTCTACCAATTGAGCTAAAGGGTTAACCCACTAGCCCATGCTAGTAGGATGCTGTGTATCATACACTACTACATATCCATAAGACAATTACTACCTTCCCAATGTAAATACCATTACCTGAGGGTAAGGGGAGAAGTACCAGGGACGTATTCTATATTTTCCTAATTCTATCATCTCTATATTTTTCATCCTGGTCACTATGTCATCATGGTGTGCTACCATACTTCCTGTTTGTCTAGGTTTCTTAGATCCGTCTTCATTCTGGAAATATTGGCAACTTATAAATGAGCCATTATCAGACAATGTCCCCAAAATAATGTGACATCATAAACAAGCATTTAACAAGGAAAGGATGTAATATATACTACACCATGTTAACTAATCATGCTTCTTTTATCCTAGAAAATTAATGTCAATCCAGGTATTTTATACAAGATTTTGCAAATGAAATAATACTACATTGTCCTTGCACTACAATTAACAGACTAAAATTCTAAATAAAAATAATATTCCAATAGCGTTTAAAAATTGAGTATTTACCAAGACTAAAATATAAAATACAGCCCACTCCTACACCAGGAATGACAAAGAAATAACTTACCAAAGGCAGAGTATTTTGCTGCTGGAGGCCTAGCGTGGGGGTATTATTTCTGCTGCCAGTGGGGGTCGCAAAGGGGTCAGCCTACAAAAAAATTATACATGTATTACTTCACTAGACAACTCTTTACAGATTGACAAACACACGTATCAGCCTTATCTTGTCTACAACACCATGTTACTTTTACTGCTTTATTCTGTTTCCCTGTGTTCACATCTTGTTCACATCTTACCACATTCAGCTGGTTTGAGGAACTGTTTCTACTGGGTGTTGCTGGTTCAGAAATCTGGAATGATTAACTCCTCACAGTCACTATATTCAACCCCAGCACACACATGCTTATTTAAAGAATCACTGTCTAGTTAGTATAGTATGCCAGGGCATCAACGATAGTGGGAAACATGGGATAATTGGCATAACGGGCGAAGCCCATTATGCATAAATTATCCCATGTTTCCCACTATTGTTGATGTCCTTGGCTAACTAGACATGATTCCTTATATTTCCATTTCATTGTGAAATAAAATTGTAGATTTAGACTTTAAAAATGTAGACATAGACTTAAATTACACGAAGACTTCCATGTCAATTTCAATAGTCCTTGCCCACTGACGTCAAACGCATAGGCAGCCACACGAGATTTACATGCATATTTGGCCTCCTTAGCGTCAGACACAGAGACAGATGCGCACAAGATTTGCATGCATATTAGGCCTCCTTAGCTCCTGACCTATCGACCTGCCTAATTTACATTCCGGCAGACTTACCAAGAAATAAACTCCGACAACTTTCAAAGAGTTATCACAGAGAAAAAAATTAGAAATGGAAATATAAAAATATACAAACAAAGAATAACTCAATAAATCTTGACAGAAGACAGTTTTACAGTTGTTTTACACATTACATTATTATTGACAGTATTTATTTATAGATCACAGGTAACACTGATATGTTGAGTAAAGATGGACTTGAATCCGTCCGAGCAGCCTACCTCCGTGTCCTCCCCTCCCTTCCTCTTCCTGTTAACACTGAATTTCTTGTTCCCAGACGAGCCATTCTGCTGCTAGAATTAAATTAAAGTACAGTGAAAATCAGGATGTTTATCACAAAATCTTGTCTAATATGATGCAAATTTCAACTCTCTTTCAGTAATTTCAATTGTTTAAAACATCTAATCCGAAATGTTGTCAAATCTGGCAATTTTTCTGGAACCAGTGGTTTAACTGTATAAATCTATTGATGCATAAACAAAACTAATTTGAACTAATGCACAATGGAACTATGTAATAAAGTTCTGGGAAAGTCTCATCAAATTTTATCCAGTGGATTAGGAGTAGTTGCAGATCAGATATGAGTACACCTGCAGATCAAGAGCACCACCATCACTATATATCCTCAATTTTCAAATGAGAGGTAAAATAATACAGCTATTGAGGGTAACTTTGCACAGAAATAAAGTACATACAAGAACTGTACTTACTACTACTTCTCTCTCGGGGGTACCTGGCCTTGACCCCGTCCCCGTTTTTACCCCTTCCTTCTTTGGTGTCTTTGCCTCCTTGGATGGCTGCGTAAGCTTGGAAATATCCATCCGCTCTTCTGTCACCCATTCATCTAACCTTTTGTTGACTTCATATTAGGGAAAATTTCAAAATAGTATATTACCACTCAGAAAAAAAGCATCAAGCTTTTTTTAAACTCCATGGATTTTTTAAAAATTCTACTGTCTTAGATTTAAAATTTTCTACAAATAATTGTCAGTGAGCTAAAATGTGGTATTCAATTTACAATTTTGAAAGAAAACAAAAAACACAAGTGCTCTTTACAGAATGCTCTCAAGATTATTTCATTTTTTCGATACTCACAGTCATCATAGTGTATGTAGTAGAGATTCTTTCCATTTGTTTCTTTCTTCCCCAAAATCTCAGCCATATCTACCATGGTAAAAATGAAAAATGTAAATTGAAATACCCATATATATAATGGTATAACTTTTGTTGAACATATACTTAATAGGCATACACAACTTTCTTAAAAACTACAAGTTACTACTAAAAATTTCTTTAAATAAAAGTGAAATCTAAATCATATAATTGTAAATTTGAAAAAAAAAAAGATTTATTTAGATCTTTCAACTCTGAGGGCCTTGAAAGGAGAATAAACAATAATATTATATTTTATAGAAATTTTGAAAATCACTAAGAAATTGTTAACATACGCCATCCATCTCCATTTCTCAGCAGCACAGGTAATCTGCATCCTTCCACTATTTCAGACTGAAAATCAATTCACAGAAATGTATAATCTACAAACTATTAATAAAGATACATGTAGATATGGAAGAAAATTCAATTTTTCATCATCTGAAATATTTTAAAAATGAGTTTAAAAATTTAAACAATAATCTAGTAAAAGTGTGTATTTTAAAAGAAAACAACAACGACAACAACAATCTAATTCAACCTTTTCAATCTAACCGAATTACTTCTAGAACAATCTACCAAAACATTTGGAACAACAGATATCCCAAAAAATAAACCTGGGAATCTGTTCCTTTCATATTCGGATTGTGTTTCCTATATCGCCTTCTTCTTTCTTATGACACATACAGCCTTTAAATTCTTTTTTATCCAAATTAACCAAGAGTTTACGTCGTTTCCCTCTTGTTTTCGTTTGTGCCTGTTTCTCTTCAAAAGCAAAATTAGAATGCCGATCCCGATTAATAATATTATTGAACAACCAATCAATTAAAACAAATATAAGAAGCGTAAAGTCAACAATTTTAGTTTTACTGAATTCTTTTTCCATTTCCCGTATTCAATTTTACCCTCAATGAAGTACCAAAAGCAATTCGTTTATAAACATCATATTTTTTTGAAAGTGAAAGTAGCATGCATGCATGACGAAAGTAGCTTGTAACTCTTGTTGTTCCTGATAAACTTATGGCGACAGCAGCAGTTAAGGAAGAACCCCTCGAAGAGGTGGACTATGAAACAAGGTTGTATTAGCTTATTTATGAGATAAAGAGAATTCTTAGTATTGCGATTACAGAATGCAGGGAATTTAGGATTATAGACGTGTAGAACACACAATATTGCAATAGAGACATAAATAGCTTAAAAATACCACGGTATACATCTCTAATTGCAGTAAACATAGTGTGTTGTATTTATCACTACACTCTACAGTGAATACATTTCAACCCAGATTAATTGTTATGATGTAAACTGAAACTGTCTATAACACTTTTAATCACATTCCTATGCTTTTTATAGATTTATAATGCTATGCCAGGCCTCACCAGAGGGTGTTACAGACAATGTTATCCAGAAGGAACTGTCTCAGTGTGACACACAGCAGAGAATGACCATTGTCAACAGGCTACTCTCCATGGTGAGTCATATAACACACAGACAGACAAACAAACAGACACAGCAGAGAATGACAATTGTCAAATGGCTATCTCCATGTTGAGTAACTACACATACAGCTATACAAACTCAAACACACACACACACACACACAGCAGAGAATGACATTGTCAACTGCTAGGCTACTCTCCATGATGAATTGAAACACACAGACAGACACATATGCAACCGAGATTAAATTTCCCATGTCAACACTCAACACATGAATTTCTAACAAGTTTAAAATCACTGGTCTGGTCCATTGCATTTTCTCTCTTATTGTTAAAGAAAAAACAACAGAGAATTAGTTGACCATTACCACGTGTCATGATGCATCAACTACAATAATATTCTAAATAGCAGCATCATGTATTTCAGGGTAAAATAGATCTCTTAAAAAGTGGAAACAAGTTGGTATACAGATTAAAAGATCCTGACACTGCAAGGTGAGAATCAGACTGAACATAATGTTTATAATTTAGGAATAGAAAAAAAATTCAGAAAAAGAACAAGGTGTAGATGGTTCTAGTCGAGTGCAAGAAATTTTTGCGAAAAATATTCGCGATGACAAAACTCTCGCAAATTCAGTATACAGTAATTTGTGAAAAAAAAAATTAAATTCTACTTCTTTCACAGTTTTGGTCAATTTCTCTAAATTGTGATACAAGTTTAAGAAGAAAAAGAGACACAGTATTGTAAAAGTAAACATTTAAAAAAAGTCTTAAGTCCAGGATTTCTTTTCCCTAATATAAGTACAAACAAGTACAGTCTCAATAGAGAAGGGGAAAAAAACTACCTGAAAAATCGCCTAAAAACACTCTATACAGAGGTTTTAACAGCTAGATAGAAATGAAAAAGATACAAAAGGTAAAGTGAATGCTAATTTTTTTCAGCCAAGTGAAGGGAGGTGACAACCAGGAGAAACTGGTGTATCAGATCATTAAAGACGCCGGCAACAAAGGTAAGAAACTGGTGTATCAGATCATTAAAGACGCTGGCAACAAAGGTAAGAAACTGGTGTATCAGATCATTAAAGACGCCGGCAACAAAAATAATGGTTTGATTCACAATCATTAAAGATCCCAGCAACAAAAATAAAGGTGCTGGAAACGAAGGTTTGTTTTATTAGAATAAGATTCTAGCAACAAAATGTTTGTCTGATTATTAAGTAATACATTTTGTATATTAAATATAGATCATGTAACAATTTGATGTGACTTTTATTTTTCTGGACAGGAATTTGGATTAGGGATATAAGATTCAAGTGTAACCTATTGTTAACACAAGTCAACAAGATCCTAAAGAACTTAGAAACCAAGAAACTAATCAAAGCTGTTAAATCTGTGGCAGTAAGTCAAACATTTAATTTAGAAATACTTTATTGATGATGTAGGAGCTGAAACAAAACATTCAATAATGTTTTATATTTAAAGTATCATTTATACAAAATTAGGAGACTCTTAAGATTTGCACTTGTAGTTATTTACTACAATGATTTTAATATCATTTTACTTCCATCCAGATTTGTTTCTTCCATTGTCTGAAGATAAAAATAAACGTTTTTTATTGACAGGCTTCCAAGAAGAAGGTGTATATGTTGTTTAACCTAGAACCAGATCGCTCGGTGACCGGTGGAGCCTGGTACAGTGACCAGGACTTTGAATCAGAATTCGTAGAAGTCCTGAACCAACAGTGTTTTAAATACCTGGAGCAAAGGGTAAAGTTTATCTCACTCCCTTCTGGGTTAACTATCTGTCTTTTTATTTTATATTCAATCTGCAGTGTTAAGCTTACTACAATTATATTTCAGAAGTAGGTGGGGATATTACATTTACTTAAAACAAAAACTGTTTCACCATGAATAATAAACTACTCATTAAAAAAAAAATTTGAGGAACCTGTAAATAATTACTACCGGGTATCTTCAGATATGGAGGAATGTCATTTTATAACAGCAGTGTACATGGTCTTTATTCCTTAGGCTGCCACTGCCAGGGAATCTAAATCGGACCCTATCGCTCAGAGGAATGCTTCTTTCACACCACTTGAAGATGTCTGGAAATATATCTCTGAGCTTGGCATCAGCAAGGTCTGTAGGAGAAATATAATCCAGAATACTTCCTCTTACATACTGGACTATTATATTCTATAGAATGACCTTACTCAGGATGAATTACTCGGACAACTTCTCTGGCATGAAACCATGAAGAATTGCCTCTCTTTATGCAAAAAATTCAAAATTTCACCATCCACATTGTAATGAAGATAACTGTCATATTTGAGAACAAGGTTATTTGTTGATATAATTTTAGTGGTCCTGTTGCAGTGGATCCTTTCTTTACTTTTATTTCATACAGACATTGATAGAAAAAAGTCAGTATGGGATTTTGCTGTAATTCAATCACACCATTATACACCCGTTACCATTTCTTACTACAGGTACAGTTATCGAAGGAGGATATAGAAACTATACTGAACACCCTGATATTTGATGGTAAAGTAGAGCGTTCCCTGGTTGCGGGTCAGTCTACAGCCAGCGGTGATGGTTACATCAAGCTGTACCGGTCAGTTAAACCTCTCATCCCCACTACTGGACTCATGAGGATGCCATGTGGTGCCTGCCCCGTAAGTCATGGATTTATTAATTTTCTGTAAATGTTACTATTCACAATAATGTAGCTGTTGTTGTTTTATATCTTTTCTTGTTTTCAGGTGTTCAACGAGTGTTATGAAGGTGGAGCAGTTTCTCCCACGACCTGTGTTTACATGAAAGAATGGCTAGAGATCTAGCGAGTGTTATTGTTTGTATTTCATATTATTAAAGTTATTACATGTAATACAAACAAGACTTATTTTTTGTTCTCATGTTGATTAAATCATTGTGATTAGCATTATGTCATGTTAAAATTTAATCTGATAGTGGTATTTTAGAAACATTTAGTCATAATAGATAAAGTGCTAAACTTGATTGAATGAGGGAGCATTTGAGAAAAAAATTACAGATACCAGGTTTTTGCTGAAACCTTGATACTAGCCTAGAATCTTTGCTCAAGATCACTGCATACCTTATACTGTCTCACTCATTAGGTGAAGTTGGGAGTCTGATAGGGCCATACGGATAGAGAAAATTCAATTTGAACTAGGATTTTTCACAGAGAGGTTTTTTAACCTTGACCTCAAGAACATCGGATCAAGTTCACTGCACACCTCCTACCCACCGGAACTCTTTGGGTAAAATGTGAGTCTAACTGGGTCAAGGGGATAGAAAATATGCTCCAGACAAGGATTTTACACATAATTTTTCAATCTTGACCTTTGAATGGAAAATTGGTTCAAGGCCAATCCTATCTGCAGGTACTCTATGGGTGAAGTATGAGTCCAAGTGGGAGAAAATATGCTGCAGAAAATCAGGTTTTTCAGTCTTGACTTGACCTTTTATATATAAAACATTGGTTCAAAGTCACTGCACACCCTTTACCCTTGGGTAATTTATGGTTGAAATTTGATCCTGACTAGGCCAAGGGGAGAGAAACTATACTCTGGACAAACCAAATGGACATATGAATGAACAGATAGACTGATAACAATAGGGCACCCTTAAATATAATTAACTAAACAAAACATCCTCTGCTTCAAAGCTAAATTTATAGAGTATGAGGCGCCTAAATTGGGGGTCATACAAACAAGAAATCTGTGAGCCAATGCTCACTAATAATACCCTGCTCTGATGTAAATAAGCACTATCATGTTAATATACACAAGTTCAATTACAGGAAGATGCACAGAAAAATATGAAGTTGACATCAGATTCATATCAAAATTAATCCCACCATATAGCATGCCTCAACAAAGAGTGTAATAAAATTTCAAGCATCTGCTATGAATACCTAATGAGAAAACTGCGAAGAAGATTTGTTATGTATGAAACGGACAGACGCACAAACAAACAGGAAGTTGACAACGGATTTGAACAAAAATGTATCCCAATGTATGGCATGCCTCAGAGAAGATTGTGTTAAAATTTCAAGCATCTACAATGAGTAGCTGCTGAGAAAACTGCAATGAAAATTTGTTACAGACACACAGACAGACAGACAGACACACAAGGGTAAAACAGTATACCCCCCTCTCCTTCGGAGCGGGGGTATAAAAATAAAACAAAAGGAACAAGCTAGAAAATGAATAATCATTAGAATTTATTGCCTTTTTTATAACTGCACTTTTTATAGGTAACATTTTAAAACAATAATAATTGAATACCAGTAGATTATAAATGTATTACTAGTACCATGTGAGCAATCAATATCATACATAAACATCTTTGGTTTAAATACATGTAAAATCAGGATAAAATGATCAAGTTTTGATTACTGTCAAACAGCTTCAATTATATACATTGTACAATAAAGTTCAAATTTATGCCATAAATGGCCCTGCAGATTTATAAGTTTATCAACTAACACTTTGTGTGGTTTTAAATATAAAGTAACAAGAGATGTTTGTGAAACACTTATGCTCCCCTCCCCCTGGACATGCATGCAAAGAAAATGAATGGAAATGGAAAAAAAAATAATTGGAATTTTTCCAAGTCCAAGGGGCGTAACTCTGTAAAAAATTGCTTGATAGTACCCAATAAAGACCTTGACCTAGATATTCTTATGATAAATCTGTATACTGAATTTCATTAGAGTATGTTGATTCTCTGCAAAGAAAATGACGGAAACTTAGTGGACTGACAGACCAACCAACAGACAGCAGCAAAGCAATATGCCCTACCTTCTTTGAAGGGGTTATAAAAATTAAAAATGCCATTTAGTACATTCCTGGACAAGTAATGGATGCATGATCAAGTTTATATGATAAATAGAAATATTATATAATATTGGGTTGAATAAGATATTTGAATAAAAATATATATAATTTTCAAATTCAGAAACAATTTTAGCACATTCCTTCTTGGTATATATACTGTACTACATAAATTCCATAAAATATGCCTATAAATGAAAATTATTGTTGGTGTTTTTTCTCCCCAAATAATTTCATGAGTTCTATATGTGTCATTAGAGTCATGCCATTAACTGGAAATGCCCTTAAACTGGTCATTGACAATCCACGGAAAAATATCTTTATCCCATTGGACTTGTAACTCTTGATAACACAATCAAGGAAGCCAGAATATAACTTCCTGTCACTGTCTGCCTGAATACGACTCTTCATGACATCAAACGGCATGATCAGAGCCCAGCTCACGACACCAGCAACTCCGCCGTAGATAAAACTCTGTAACATCGAGGAGACGGTGGGGAAGGATTTGACTCCGTGGTAAATAAGGAATTCGTACACAAGGAAGTAGGTCACAGAGGCGGGAATATCTCGTAGTGCCTGGGTGGGAAGCCCCCGGTACATTCCTAGGAATCCCCTGCTGCGGAGGATGTCTCGTGTTCCCTCTAACGGGCCTCGATAGTACTTCCCTGGAGAACCTACAGAAAATAATACAATAAACTAACTAATTTAACATAGATATTAAATGATGAGTTATCTGAAATCTAATTAATTTCTGTAACAACAGTAATTCTGATTCATTAAAATGCCATTAATTGTGTTCAAACAAAAGTAAATTTACAAGTCATTGGGAAATGGTCCAACATATTTAACCTTGACCCTCCATGTGAATTACAAGAGTTAACACCACTGGTACAAGATCCACCTTCCGGAGGTTCAACATAACCTTCACCCCCATGTGAGATTACAGAGTTAACATCACTGTAAAGCTCCACCTACCAAAGGTTCAGAGATAACGAGATTTAACATTACTGATACAAGCTCCACCTACCGGAGGTTCCGATATTATAAGATTTAACATTACTGATACAAGCTCCACCTATCAGAGGTTCCGAGATTATGAGATTTAACATTACTGATACAAGCTCCACCTACCGGAGGTTCCGAGATTATGAGATTTAACATTACTGATACAAGCTCCACCTACCGGAGGTTCAGAGATTATTGGCCAGTTGCGTATCTATAGTTTAGCTAAGTACAGCTCAGTGGTGGATCCACGGATCACGTAAACCGGGTTTAAATGCCAGGTAAGTCAGGGTTACCTGAGTAGTAGTTCAGTTGCACGCTTGAAAAGTAAACCACGCTTACCTGATCCAGACTTTCGTTTGCAAAAAATTGAAGAATGTCGAAACCCAGTAAATCTCCTAATTTTACTGCCCTGGAAAAATCTGTTTTGTTAGAACTTATTGAATCTAGGAAGGATATCATTGAAAATAAACAAAATGACGGGAAAATGGTATTAAAGAAGAACTCGGAATGGGAGAAAATAACGACTGAATTCAATGCAAGTCACGGTGTCAACCAAAGGACCTGTATACAGCTGAAGTCCCTTTGGAAAAATATGAAGTCACGGACAAAATCTGCAGTTGCAAAAGACCGAAGAGAGAGGACAAAAACTGGAGGAGGGCCACAATCTGAAACAGGACTGGATACCGTTTCAGCTGCAATTTCAACCATGCTTCCGCAGCAGATTAACAGCTTATCTAATGAATTCGACGACGACGCTAGTTTACATGGAGATGTAGAAAGAACGTCCAGTACTAATGAAGCGGTGAGTAAAAAATAATAAAGAATTCAAAATATAAATTAAATATTACATTTTAATGTTATTAATTTAGAAGTATAGACAGTACATTATCCTATATTTGAATGTCATAAAAAGTTCGCAATAAGAGTTTAAATGAAGATAGATTTATTCACATAGGCAAACTGTGTCACTGAATCCAATGAAGCCTCCTCGTCTAGTTCATCATCATCAACAGCAGCATCGGTAGTTAAGAAGAAAAGGCCCCAGGGTAAACAAGAGCAGGTTAAAGGCAGGCTCTTGGAGATGGCAGAAGAAGAACATGCCGCTAAGATGCGAATTTACAAACTGAAAGAAGATATCCTCAATCTGAAAAAGCGTAAACTAGAGGAATCCATGTCCACTGCGTCTACCAATGAAAGAGGCAATAGACCAAGTGCAAGTAAAGAAATTGCATGGAGACCATTTTAATTTGTTTAGGGCAATAATAAATGGTATATTGAATAAAATACAAAAGATACATATTATAATTCTTATACTTACTTTAAGATCTTATCTGAAATTACGAATCAGAAGTGAACGTAGGGCCCTGCCTCCTTGGTGGCGATTCTGTAGGACAGGTACAGGAACCTGGTCATCCTCCTGCAGTTCATCTTCATGTGGTAGAGGAATTGAGAGCTCCCTCGCAATATTATATAACACACAACAGGCAGTAATCACTGTTAGATTTGATTGAAGCTTTAATCTAAGTTGTTGTCGCAAACAAGGGAATCGTCTTTTCATTATTCCAAACACATTTTCAATTTTTACACGAGCATTGCATACAGCAAAATTAAATCTTCTCTCCTCTCTGGAGTTTGGGGTCAGAACTGGAGTTATGAGATAATGACGCAGGGGATAACCATTGTCACCGAGCAAAATTCCATTAATTTCTCCACGTTCAAATTTTGCACAAATGTTAGAATTATCAAAAATTCTGCTGTCATGTGTACTGCCGGGCCAACGTACCACAACATTAGTTAGCTTGAGTTCGTGGTCACAGATTGCCTGTACGTTAATAGAGAAATATCCTTTTCTGTTTCTGAAAAGTTCGGCATTATCTCCTCCAGGAGAAATAATGGGGATGTGAGTACAATCTATCAATCCCACAATACCGGGAATGTTACTTTGTTGCATAAATGCTCTTTGTACATCCAAAATTCTATTTCCAGAGGGGAATTTTATATGTGTGTTGTACAAAGAAGCAATTGCACAGGAAACTTTCTTAATGATTCTTGAAACGGTGCATTTATGCACCCCAAACAAATCACCGCTTACTGATAGCATATTGCCAGTGGCATAATACCTCAACGTTATAAGAAGTTGATTTAATGGGGAGATGGATGAAGTGTGCAAAATTCCACCTTCCAAATCAACATTAACATCATCTAGAATAGACAAAACGGCCTCTTTGCTAAGACGAAATCTATCAATAAAATCAGCGTCGTTGTAATAAGTCATAGGATTAAGTCTATCTCTAACAATTTGTTCTCTCCTAATCAATCTATCTACAAGATCAAACCTCTCAACTTCTTCCAAATACTCCGCCATCACTCCGAACAAAAATACGAAGCAGGGTTTAAACCACCCCTATAGTAGGTTCAGAATTTTCCGTAATTCTGAGCCGTACTCACCTGATCCTTACCTGCGTGCAACGCATAAACGGTGATTTAAACCTGGAATCATTGATCCAGAGTTTAAACCATAGATACGCAACCGGCCATAAGAGATTTAACATTACTGATACAAGCTCCACCTATCGGAGGTTCCGAGATTATGAGATTTAACATTACTGATACAAGCTCCACCTACCGGAGGTTCCAAGATTATGAGATTTAACATTACTGATACAAGCTCCACCTACCAGAGGTTCCGTGATTATGAGATTTAACATTACTGATACAAGCTCCACCTATCGGAGGTTTAACATTACTGATACAAGCTCCACCTACCAGAGGTTCCATGATTATGAGATTTAACATTACTGATACAAGCTCCACCTACCGGAGGTTCCGAGATTATGAGATTTAATATTACTGATACAAGCTCCACCTATCGGAGGTTTACCATTACTGATACAAGCTCCACCTACCGGAGGTTCCGTGATTATGAGATTTAACATTACTGATACAAGCTCCACCTACCGGAGGTTCCGAGATTATGAGATTTAACATTACTGATACAAGCTCCACCTACCGGAGGTTCCGAGATTATGAGATTTAACATTACTGATACAAGCTCCACCTACCGGAGGTTCCAAGATTATGAGATTTAACATTACTGATACAAGCTCCACCTACCGGAGGTTCCGAGATTATGAGATTTAACATTACTGATACAAGCTCCACCTACCGGAGGTTCCGAGATTATGAGATTTGACATTACTGATACAAGCTCCACCTACCGGAGGTTCCGTGATTATGAGATTTAACATTACTGATACAAGCTCCACCTACCGTAGGTTCCGAGATTATGAGATTTAACATTACTGATACAAGCTCCACCTACCGGAGGTTCCGAGATTATAAGATTTCACATTACTGATACAAGCTCCACCTACCGGAGGTTCCGAGATTATAAGATTTAACATTACTGATACAGGCTCCACCTACCGGAGGTTCCGAGATTATGAGATTTAACGTTACTGATACAAGCTCCACCTATCGGAGGTTCCGAGATTATAAGATTTAACATTACTGATACAGGCTCCACCTACCGGAGGTTCCGTGAGGTATCTGGGACTGTAGGACGACCTTGATCACGTCTATAGGGACGGCCGGAATCAGCTGACAGAGGCCGCCCAGACTCCCCGCCAGGCAGATCTTAGTGAAGTCAGGAGGAGTTTTTCCTGATATGTCTGCATGCAGTAGCTTCATGGTGCTCCCATAGACACCAAAGAACACTGAGTTGATGATTCCATAAGACAGCATCGGCCAGGACAACCCTCGGAAAAATCCCTTGGCCTGTAAACAGCAGAATTTCAAGTCAAATGGTCAGTAGAATATTTCATACTTATGAAAACAAAATGAAACCTCTTTTTTAAAAGATAAATGTTCCCTTGATATAAGATTATTGACAGAAGATTAAAAACACTAAATTCATGCACCATATTATACTCTAAGAGGACAAAATTTTGTAGGACAATTCCTAATGGCCAAAATTTTTACGAAAACAAAGAATTACAGTACAATGAAAAAGAAATGAATTTTTCTACAAATATGTGAATATAACAAAAGGCACAATCTAAATAAAGACATTGCTTAAATAAAATTTTCAAAATCTTTACCAAATTTTGACTCTTTACTGCTTGGTAGCATTCTCTTAGGGATACTGTCTCCAAGCTGGCTTGTCGGATTTGAAGTTGAACCTGGAAAGACTCAGAAATTTAGGAATCCTCCCATTGTACTTGACAGGTGGAATAAATTCCCCTCCCAAAACAATAAAGAATATGATATATTTTGTAAGTGTGATGATTTGAAAATGAAGTCCCACCTTGACAGTATCAAAGGGATGTCCCACTACCACGCCCACAGAACCTGTTAGAGGGAAGACTCGCTGTAACTATAACCCATAATATAATGATCAGATCTAAACAGCTTAACAGGGAGAATCAGTTATATCATTTCTTTGTTAATACAACAGGTTTTTAATTTTATTAGTAAATAAGTGAATATTTTTCTACGGATGCAAATCATAGAACACAGAAAGTTGAATCTGAAGTGGTTCTATTAATACACAAATGACAAACTAATTACAGACTTCAAATATTTTGTCCCCATTTTAAAAGTTTTTAAAATCTTTTATTCAATAGATATTCTATTTCATTTTTACCATAACTTTTTTTATCATTAGAAATATAAATGAAAATGACAATTTGATTTAACAATTGATCTAATATTTACCTGCTATAGCTCCTGCAGCATAATCATACAATGGAGATACATGCTCATTCTCCATTTCATCTGAAATACATGTATGTACAATTAAAATTCTAAAAAGGAGATAAGCAAAGATAATTAATTAATTAAAATATCTGCTTTGAACATTTAGGTCCTAGATAGTCAATGGTAAATGTAATATACTTTTTTCCTGAAGACAAAACATTTACTACAGACATGAGGTAATTTCTGTAATAAATATTTGATTATTTGGAATGCATGAAAAATGTCATTATTGGTTATCATAATTAATTGGAATTACACTCCCAAACTGCACGCAAGTGAGTTAAGGCTAAATATGAGCTTTTCTATGCAAATGAGGTAATAAAAATGCATAAAGTGTAAACTTTATGTACGGAGAAAGTTCAAATTGATTTTCTTATACATACTTAGTACCAACAGTTTATTAATGCAAGTGCACATTATGACATCATATTATGACGTCATTGTTCTTTCCCATTCAATTTCATAGAACACATCAACAAAACAACGTCGGCGCAAGGGCATATCCTATTTAATTTAAAATAAATAATGTATAATATTAAGGAGAATATTCCTAAAATTAATAAAATTGCTGCACAAATCCTATGCACTTTTTCAAATGATAAAAATTTTAAGAAACTTACACTGGACTGTGAATTTTTACCCTGTTTTAACTTAGAACTGTACGAATAGTAACTAAACAATTGCAATGTCGACATTTGTGCAGCAATATCTTTAATCCTTGGAATATTCTGCCTCTCTTTATACCTTGTTTCTCTAAAACAAAGTAAGGTATGCCCTTGCGCCGGAGTGATTTTGTTGATGTTTCTTAAAAAACTCTGTAGTAAAGGTTGATGACGTCATAATATGACGTCATAATGTGTACTGGCTGTGGCATATCGTGGTGACCAAGAATATTTCAGAAAACAAGTTTTAACATATCTTTGCGTTATGTATAGCAATTATGGGTTTCAATTAAATATTTTGCATAGAAACCTCCATACGTAGCCTTAACTCACTTGTGTGGATTTATCAATGCAATTTTTTTTAAAAAATATTACTTTAAATTTTGATACACATTTTTCAATCATATTTGAATTAATATAGGTAATTATAAACAAATGTACACATCAAAATTTCACAGAAAACTAAAGATTAACATACTTGGTGATATAATGACTCCAGTTCTTAATTTGTACCAGCTAGTGTATACTAGATAATGATTAAATCATCATGAATATGAACTGATGAATCATCATCATGAATCCTCTACATAATCATTATATCATTCAATAAATGAATTTGACTGTAACTATAAGTTTTTCAAATGGTTTCAATAGAATCATACCAGAAAAAAGAAATACACATAGGATTTTCATTCTAAACAGTCAGACGAGACTTAAATTCCTTCATTAATTTATTTTATTACAAAGATATAACTGTGATAATCTAAATATTCCTTCATCCACCAAAAAAAATATACTCCGGGATCCCTTCAAATCTTTAAAAGTCTTTGACAATTAATGAACTATTTAACAGCATTTTTTTACATTTGTTTTTCCCGCAAAAAGTCACATACTATTGACAAACAAGTGGCGACCTCTACAATTATCTAAAAAGCCCGGATGTTGTTGTCAAAATGAGAATATATGTCAAAATTTTAACAACTTTTACCGTTGATTTGGAAGCATGGATTACGTAGATACTTATCAATACCAAAAGATAAACAACTGATTAACATTTATTACAGCGTGTAATAATTTCTGTAGTCAGAGTGTAGGATAACACTACCAAGAAATTTCAACAGGTACCATATCCCAAATCATGTGTTTCCGCCATACACAACGATGAACGCATGCGCTCGCATTGAATTATGGTACAAAATCAGCACGCCCACGTGATTTTTGACCAATCATTACAAAGAATTTTTTGATGACAAGTTGTTGTTGAGCCATGGTTGATGTACGTTTCGCCGAAAGTGGAAACCTTGTGGGACTTGTTTACTGATAATTCTGGAATAATACAGGACGAACTGTGGTGATATATTGAAGTTTATTAGGCTATATAGTCAGGATTGCCTTCCATATTCAGAGCAATGGTAACACTTCTTATTTGTTTTGTACAAGACGGTTTTTCTTTGGGCGCGATGCCCAAACTTAAGAGTCCTAACCATATCTGCATTTCAATTCACCTACACTTCCTATTCTCTGTACATTTTTCTACAAATGTTGATAATTTCTTTATAGCTTCTCGTAGATTGCTTTTTTAGGAAATATTAATCTTAAACAAGCTTGATAATCTCCCGAGGTTTCGGAAAGTGTAATGAAAAGGCAAACTTAATGACAGTCCCAACTCCACCCTTGGCCCTAGAATTCTCTAATGTTCATCTTGGCTATGATTATATTTAAAGTTTTGTGTTTTATCACGATATTAAAAGAATTTATGTGGTAGTGTGATTGATAATTAAACACCACAACATAAGGATGAATTTGAAACAAAATGAAAATGGCAGCCATATTTAAACTAAAACAGTCAGTTTAATGAAAAACTTAATATTTGTCCAAGAATATTTACTCAGCAACATAAAAATTGTATTTATTATATGAGAGAGACAGAATTTTAGATTTTGGTGACATTTGAAAAAAGAGTGTGAAGGAGGTTATTTTTCTCCTCACAGTAATACAAGGGTTTCTTTTATCCATGTTTATTCATTTTTAGGCAGGAGATGATCCTCCATTTTTGCCCGTTGGCACAGAAGTTAGTGCCAAATACAGAGGAGCATTCTGTGAGGCGAAAGTGAAGAAGATTGTACGATCAGTGAAATGCAAGGTAAGTTGTCAAGGCACAAATTTCTTGTCAGTAATGAGTATTCTGAATTTGTATCTTTGAATATACCATGAAGCTTGATTGTTCGTGACACAGATATCTTAATTTTTACAGATTTATCTCAAAGAGACCTTGACTTCCATTGTTGTGACAGATGACACAATAACTAAAGGGTCATTAAAGGTAAGAAGTTACACAGAGAAGCTATATTGTTGAAAGAGTGAACTATATCTGCATACCTTGTTAATTTATGACCAATTTAATAATGTTCCATTTTTCTTTCAAAATATAAGGTTGGTGCTACTGTGGAATACAAGAACCCAGACACTGGGCAGCCCCTGGAGGCCACCATCACTAAATTAACAGACTGTAGCATGTATACAGTTGGTAAGTATCGTGAAGAAAGAAAGAAATGTCATTAATAATGTGGTTTAAAACTGTTATAAATTGTAGATCTTATTGCAAGAATTAATAAAAAATGCTGTTTTATTTCTAATAACAGTTTTTGACGATGGTGATGAGAAAACACTCAGAAGAACTCAATGTTGTCTAAAAGGAGAAAAACACTTCATTGAAAGTGAGGTAAGGAAGTCATGTATTAGATATCCATTTCCTGTAAGTTGCCCAAATTTGGAGAGAAGTTATGCATAAGTGTATTTTTGTTGTTTCAGACTCTTGACAATCTTCCCCTGTCACACCCAGAACACTTTGGAACACCAGTGATGAGTAGCAAGACAAAGAGACGAAGTGGAAGACAAAGCTTCGGGTAAAAAAGCAGAATTGTTTTTCTGCAGATAAAGATTGAGAATACACATCTTCAATCTTTTTTTCTCTTTCTCATTAAATTTAAAAATACTGGTTTGCCTAGAAGATAAAGATTTTCAATTGGAAATAAATGACTTTTCCTCCTTTTAAAAATTCCTGTAAGATTATGTAAATATTAATATTATTTTAATGTGCATTCAAAATATAGATCTTAAGTATGCTTACATCTTTTGTATGGTGTTCATGAGGTGAAAAGATGGCGCTTCATAGATGTGGTCAAAGTTCAGTCCCTTTTATTGGCAAAAGTATGTGAGGGGGTAAGGTGGTCACCCACTTGGACACATATGTTTTCTGTGGGTACTCTGGTTTCTTCCCACAGAAATGACCCTCACACACCAACATCAATACAAAGCACCCCATGTGAAATAAGCTTTGATGGTCTATCCTTGGTATGATATTTAAGTATTACATCCCTTTGTAGGAATGAGGAGGAGGACTCAGAGGAAGAGAGTACAGACGAGAGCCTCCCACGGAGAGCTACGTACAAGGGGCGTAACCAGGAATTGGTGGGGAAGGTCTTTCTGGCCGAGATCGGGGAGAAGAAAAAACAAGTGTTACCTGTTCTGGTCGTCTTACCTGATGCTCACGCCACGGAACTAAAAACCAAAGATCACCTCCTGGTCAAGTCATTCAAGGATGGAAAATTGTAAGTAGATGTATCTGCCTTTCATGATTGCTCATTAAAGGAAGCACAATATCCCTTCAGTATACCGGTAATGTTCTCTTTATTCATTTCAGTCACACTTACCTAAGGAAAGAGTTAAAAGACTTCAGTAAAGAGGCAATTGCCAAGATTGAGGACAAGAATGCAAAGCAAGGTATACTTAAATTGTTAAAAAATTATGATACTTAAACAAATTTGAATGATACCTGACAGTATTATTGATTTTGATACTGTATGATTTCAGCTTTGGAGAGAGCTGTGAGTTTCTCAGAGAACCAGGAACTGCCCAGTAACTGGGAGAGGGAGGAATTACTGGGGACGGACGAGGAGGATTTCTCAGACGAGGAAGAGGTGGGTCATTATAAGAGAAACGTTAATTTTCACACGACATTGATACACTGTTTATATTCTAACTTTTGCTTTTGCTTGACAGGGATCTGATGATGAGCCGAGTGAAGAGAAGGATCGTTTTGTAGCTCAGCTCTACAAATTCATGGACGACAGAGGTAAGGAGGCAGAAATAATCTCATTTTGTCTCATGTGATTTGAAATCTTCAATACCAGTAAGTAAGCTTTATCACTTAATAGACCCTCTCATGAAATTGTGGAGAGCATACTCTTATAAAAATAAACTTTTGTAGGAACATCAATAAATAGAATGCCGACACTTGGAAACAAGGATCTGAATCTTTATCGTCTCTTCAACATTGTGCAAACTCTGGGTGGATACAATAAGGTAGGTTATTATCATAGAAAATTTCCTGATAAAAATTATGTGTGTATTTAAATTTGATGAAAAAAAAACTTGTTGATTTTTTTTCTGTGCACGTAGGTTACAAATCTAAACAAATGGAAAGCAGTTGCTGGCAGAATGAAAACAGGATTACCATCACAGAATATGGTGTCTCATCAGCTAAAAACAGCATACAAAAAGTAAGTGTCTAGAAACCAAGATAAAGAATTCTAAAAACAGTGTACAAAAAGTAAGTCTCTCTAGAATTAGATGTAAAGAATATGTACAGAAAAAGGAAAAACATGACATGAGATATTTTTGTTGTATTACAATATAACATTGGCTTTATGTTAGGTACCTACATGCATTACATTGGTTTATTTTAGGTATCTACATGCATTTGAGGACTTCTATCGGAAGTTGGGCAGCACCATGGGCACAATAAGTAGGCCAGGTCGGAGTCGTAATAATTCCGGGAGAGGAATGGGGGTCTATAAAGGGCATGTCAAAGAACAAAAGGTAAAAATCCCTTGCAACTCAGAATTAATTTATAATCTCTTTTCTCTAAAAAAAATATATCTCTTGCATGAAAAATGTACATTACTTTTCTTTGGATCAAACAGTTCTTTTGAATTACTGCCTTAATTTAAGTATAAAATGGATTTTTGAAATGTTTTAGGAAGTTACTGAGGAGAAGGAAGATTCTAAGAGTGATGGTGAATCAGACACGGAGGATATGGACTCAAGATCAACCAGGTCCCCGTCAAAACGAGAGAGAATTACGAGACGAGATCTAGACTCAGTGGTAAGAGAGAACCGAGAGAGGAGGGATGGCAGCAAGGATTCGCGGCGGAGCGACACATTTAAACAGGAGGAGGATGGCAAGAAGTCGGTGACAATCAAAGAGGAGGCCAAAAAGACAAAGTCCGCAAAGAAACAGGAGGAGAAAAAAGAGAGCGATGACGAGGAAACAGAGGCAGCAAAGCATGAGGAAAAGAAAAAGGTAGACAAAAAAATATCAGATTTACTTATAAAGATGATGGCCTTATAGTATTGCATCTCGCATGGATATGTTACTGACTATAAACTTTCAAAACTGTTAAATTCATAATTTTAACGGCTCAACAATGATTCTTTTTTTGCAGACCATCCGAAGGAGGTCAGCTAGAAAGGAAGATATGAAGAAGGATGAAGAAGAGGAAGCAGAAGACAAGAAAACAGAGGTCAAGTCAAAGGCCAAGGTCACAGCAGGGAAGGAAGCAGAGGTCAAACCAGGGTACGTAAAGCAATAAATCTTGGTTATATGTCTCGTAATGTACTATATATATATATATATATATATATATATATATATATATATATATATATATATATATATATATTTATAAGTTTTTCTGAAAGACTTAACATACATGTAAATACATTATTCAACAGATTGAAATATATATATATATATATTTATAAGTTTTTCTGAAAGACTTAACATAAACACATTATTCAACAGATTGAAGAAACAGGAAGAAGCAAAAGAGGCTAAGATTGAAAAGAAAGAGGAAAAAAAAGTGGATACTAAGAAAGAAAAAGCTAAGGTTAACAAAAAAGAAATAAAGAAAGAAGTTGAGGAGGAGATTAAAGATTTGGAGAAAGTGGAGAAAAAAGCGAAGAAGGAAGGTGGGAAGAAGACCAAAAATGAGGAGGAGACTACTCCAGGGAAGAAGAAGGTTAAAGAGGAGCCAGAAGAGGACATGTAAGTAAAATGTCTTAAAGTGTACTTCTTCTCTTGTTAAGGGGAAATGTGTTCAAGGCATGTTCTAAATTTCTAAATGTACTTATCTCGAATCATCTAATTGGTGACAAGAGAAAAAGTTTTTGAATCTCAAACCACAGATATGTCCAAGTGATTATGAACTCCCTACCACTTTTTCTTGAAGAATTTTATTCTCAATATCTTAAATCTTTAGATATCTTGATTTTTTTCTTGGTCCCATTAAGTTCGAGGTTTTACTGTCTTTTCCAGGGATATCTCAGAAGATTCCAAACCTGTCACAGCCAGTGAATATCCACTAGGCACAAAGCTTCAAGTCAGATATGGAAAAGGAAAGACAGAAAAAGTCTATGATGCAAAGGTTTGTATTGTATTATTTTGGATTTTAACTAGCCCCAGGATCATGAAAAAGACACTTATTGAATTTTCAATCATATGTTTATTGTTTAGTACATTTGAGCCTTTTTTAATCTATGTACATGTATACATGTATGTGTCTCTTGTAGATTATTGAAATGCAGAAAACAAATAATGGACTCCAGTATCTGGTACATTATGCAGGCTGGAACACAAGGTAAGAAGTCTTCTTTTGGCTATGTACAATACAAATATATATGTGTACAATTTGTATCACTTTTCTTTTGATGCCTCCTGAAAATCATGTTTCATATATACTAGATATGATGAATGGATCCGGCCAGACCAGGTGGTGAATGTTCTGAACAAACCTACTGATGTTTCCGCTTTAAAGAAGAAAGCCAAAGAATCTCCTCCTAAATCCCCCAAAGGACAAGTAAGTACAGCTGCCACTGTACTGGGCATAATTTGTCGGAAAATACATAAATAAAATGTGTATTTTTATCATTGCATATAGTTTGGAGGTTACAGATCTATTAAAACATTCAATTCACTCAGATGACCTTTCTAGTCCTTCATAAAATATTGAAGTAATTGAAATTTTTGTAAAAAAAATTGTTTTTGATTTTATTTTACAGGCCAACAAGAAAGGGAAATCCCCAGCAGCTGTCCCTTCTCCGTCTTCTGCAGCCGTACAGCGAGAATCTCGACCAATCAAAAGATCTCCAGCTCATGTCTCCAACACAGCACCACCCAAACCAAGCAAACAGCCGCGACCGACGCGATCCAGCAGTGTGGAACAGAGGCAGCTAGACAGCCTCCCTGGTAAACATTTAACATTAATATTGATTCACGGAGCCATTTTGGTAAATACAATTATGTGCATTTTCTCTTGAAAAGCTAAAAAAAATTTTAAATGGATTTATGTTTTTTCAGGAAAACCAAGGAGAACACGTAGATCTTCGGGTGTAACAGAATCATCAGACTTGGTTTCTCAAGGTCAGTAGGATGATATATCGATCTGTTTCCTTCCAGTTATAAATACATGAACCATTAACTACACTTGTTAAAATATGACAATATTCACTGTCTACAAGTATTGTGTCATGAGTATTAAAAAAAGTCATTCTCTTTTAACAAATGGGCAGTTGTTAGGGTTTTGTATTTATTCAGCAGTAAAATTCCCCCAGAATCTTTTTTTTTCCTAACATTGTTGTTCTGTTAAACAGGATCAGTGAGTGATGATAACAATGAGTTTGAGGGAGACATTGAATCTGACGGAACAGAGTCTGTAGAGCTGCGGTCTGGCAGAGACAAAGATGAGGTGTCTGAAAAGTCAGAGGACTTGAAGATGGATAAATCTGATGATGAAAAGTCATCATTGGTAGATTATGGTAAAATCATGGATAAGAAAACAGACATATTGGCTGTAGAGCAGGATTTGCTCAACAAAGCTGCAGAAATCGAAAAAGTTGTTGAACTTGGTGAAGTTAAACAAAACAAGTCGGCTGATTCAAAGCCAGACATTAAAGGAAAGGAAGAACAATCTGAAAAAGTTGAGGATCAAGTTGTAAAGAGTCCTCCAAAACTGGACAGCTTTGGAAAAAGTCAAGAACTTTTTCCAGCAAAGGACTTGGAAATGCCCACCATTCAGGCCATTGATGAACAGCCCTCAGTCGGATCACCAGCAGGAAGTAAAGAAAAGAAAGAAGATGGGAAAATCATTCCAAAGGAAGTTGATTCAAAGGAACTATCTGAGGATGTGTTACCTGGAAAGGTTGTAAAAGAAGGTGAGGGAAGTCCCATTAGGGGTGGGGATGACAGGTTTGAATTCAAGGATGAAGAAGAGGCTGAAAAACTCCCTGAATTACCACTGGAGAAGGAAAGCAAGGAGAAATCAAAGGTGACAGATTCAAAGGATAAAACAGAAGTGGAAGTGGAGAAGAAGCAGAGAGGAAGAAAGAAAGACCCAAATAAAGCTGTGGAGAAGAAGGAACCAGTGAAAGAGAAGAAGAGAGGAAGGCCCTCCTTGGCTTCCATAGCAGAAAAGAAAGCAGCCAATCAAGTAACAGCCAAATCCCAGGAGGAGAGTGAGTCCAAGAAAACAAAAGAAAAGTCTGGAGAAGATAGCGGAGAAGTTTCCATGGTTTCAGTGAACAAGCAGGAGGAAATGGCTTTTGAACCTGTCACCAAAAACGATGAAGAAATTACAAGAGAGGAGAATGAATTCGAGAAGAAGAAAGTGAAAAAGAAACTAAAAAGAAAAGTTGAAGGAAGCAGTGACACAGAGATGGATAAGAAAGAAAAGAAGGAACCCGTCAAAGGACCAGGGAAGTCCAGCAAAGCAGAAAAGACGGTGAAATCCAGAGGGAAGAAGGTGAAGGAAGAGGAGGAGGCTGACTCTGTGTGTGAGTGGGAGGAGACTAGTCAGGGGGAAAGTGACATTGTGTCCAGTGACAAATCTCAGACTGTGATAACAGCAGAATCAACCACAGCGAGTGCTGAACATTCTGAAAGTGCTACTACAGATATTGCAAAAGACAATGGTGCCAACCTTACTGAATCTTACTTAGAATCAAAATCAGAGGAGTCTAGTGACTTCAAGTCCTCCGCCAGTCACTTACCAAACTCAAGTGCTTTGTATGAAAATACCCCACCCTCCACACCTGAACATGAAATGGATGCTCCAACTTCAGCCCAAGAGCTTACCGAGAATCTGGTGAAGACTGAGTGTAACAGCAGTAATGATCAGCAGTATGGAAGTGAGTCTCCGTCAGGTAACGCCAGTCCGTCTTCCAATGATGGCAGCGTGGGAAGCGGCAATGTGGCATGTTCCGAGAGCAGCAATAACGAGGCACCTGTTCATACTAGTCTAGGCAAACGCAGGAGGGAGTCAGAAGATGTCACACCCACAAAGAGGAAGAGGAGGGGGAAGCAAAAGTCGGAGAGGAAGCTGAGCAAGCAGACAGGTAAAAAACTTCACACAAAATATTCTGTTAATATTTTTAACCCAAAATTAGGGCAACTCTTGCCTTTTGATCAGGATTATTATTAATGTCTTCTCCAGACTTCAGTTTGTGAATATAAAAGTGACAATTTTTGAATTCTTAAATTTTAATGTAATGCAGGGAGTGATAGTGATGAAGTGTCAGAAAGACGTTACAGTCCCGAGCCAGGAAGTGCTTCTCCAACCAAAGCGACCACCCCGGTCAGGTCTCAGTCACAGCGGGCTCCTCGATATCAGCTCAATCTGGGTAAGTACCCTCCCCCCACCCCACCCCCACCCCCCCCCTCACCCCAACCCCACCCCATCCAGGTCAGGTCTAAGTCACAGCGGGCTCCCAGATATCAGCTCAATCTGGGTAAGTACCCTCCCCCCACCCCACCCTCACCCCCACCCCCACCCCCACCCCCACCTGGCTGGTCATTTCTCAGTTACAGAAAGCTTCGAGATATCAGCTAAATCTGGATAAGTTGTCAATGAAATAAATACCCCAGTTAGGACTCCTAAAGAGGCCTCAGATATGATATTGCCATAATCTAGGCAAGTATCCTATAAAACATCATAACTATACAACGATAAAGAGCTGGAATATGTATGATCTGAAAGGATGTTCCTTTGTGATATCAGGAATTTGTGAAAATTTTAACAATACACATTAAAAAAATCAATTTTGGTATTTTGAATACTTTTCTCTCTCATTTGTAGAGGAAGGCAAATACTTGGAAGGAGAGAAGAGAATTTCTTTCCTAATGGAGAAAATTCAAGAAATACGCAAAATTTATATGAATCTCAAATCGGAGGTAGCATGTATTGACAGACGACGTAAACGTGCTAGAAGACGGGAAAGGGAGAGAGAAAGTAAGACTGTTTAACTGAACAAAATAAGTAACTGATAGCACACATCTGATACATTGTACTAGCTATACTGTGTAGTAAAGTGTAGTAAGAAATACACATTCTGTTAAAATAAGAATTGCTTGAAAAATTGCTTAACTTGCAGATAATTGTAAGTTGGGCTCTTTTAATTGATGTTACTTATAGGCGTGTACTGTATATACGAATAAACAGCATAGCTCTAACATGTATGGAGTGCTTTCTTAGTTGTAGTTTGTGTATGTACTGAGAACTTGTCTGTGTGTTTGTAGGTGCTCAGAATTCCTCCAGTGGTACTCCAGAGGGGGAAACCCCGCGGTGACAATGAATGATTGGACGATCATCGTATTCATCATTTTTAACCCAGTGAAACTTTGGATTCACCTCTGCATTGTTCTGATGTGTTCAGGAAAAACAACACACCCACTGAATCTCCAAAGGAAAAGGATATTTCTCCAATAGCTAGGCTGTTGATGTAGCATTAATCCTTTGACCTTTTTATTCTGATTCCAAAAACATACACTGAGTTAATGAAAATACAATAATCTTGAAATGTACATAGTCTATTTTATTACAGTTTTCTGATAGTTCAGATTGATGCTTGTTTTACATATAATATTTATGTAAAAAGAAAATGCAAGAGGTTTTCTTACCAGTGATTTGATGGGTAAAAAAATGTTAACATCAAATTTCCCAAAATGATGCATGGCATAATTTGGGATTTTTATCTTAGTTTGTCCTGTGCCAGTAATACACAATGTGTGTGTTTTTAGTTTAAATTTGTCAATGTTACAGGCAGCATTAGAGTTATATTATATTTATAGGTACTGAGTCTATATGGTCCATAGAAAACTAAATTATTTCAGATTTTACAGGAGACTTGAATAGAGACACTTTATGTCTTGGGTTAAAACACTGCCAAGGTATTTATCATGAATGGTAGGTTTCTTTGTACTGTTAGAGAGACATGTTAATCATTTGTAGAATTATTAGGTTTATTAGGGCAATGTATATTTACACAATCAAGCAAGTAGACCTAGTTCCTTGTTTTGTTTTTCCCTTTTTTCATCAATATTACATCTAAATTATCACATAGAAATAATGTTGAGGCGACAAAATGCAGGATTTCATATTTATTACGGAACTTGTGGAACATTCAGGTTTTTCAACATGTTTGTGTACATGGTGTACATGTGTTGCAAATCTCTCTCTTTTTTTTTTTTTTTTTTTTTTACACCTATGGGAAGTGTGCAATTTTGTAAAATATACAATACAAGTATATTTTTAAAAAAAATTCCTAACTATTTTTTTTTCATTTTCCCAATTTTCTTTATAAGAACAAATCATTTTCATCAATACATGCCCAAACCAATTTATCACTTTTTTTTAATCAAGTTTCTTGGAAAAAATCAGCTTATTTTCAGGTTTACCTGTGAGATTTGTAGAACCTGCATGTCAGGTAATGCTCAGGAAAATTAGAAAACCAAACTAAGCACAGTCAGCAATAGTAGACAGGTGCCCCGCAGTGTCAGAACTTAGAGTTAAGGCTGAATAAGTACAAGTTTTTAAGGATCATTTTATTGCTGAATTCATGAGATTGCTTTAAACATACAAAAAATGGTCCTTGTATTTAATCTATTTATAGAATGCTTTCGTATTAAGGAGCATTCCAAAGAGAAGATTTTTATGACAGATCTAGCAATGTTATTGTTACAATCAATTGTAGGTTGTAAATGCTGTTAATCCAGCTCAATGTGATACACATTATTTATTTCACTGATGCTTATGATTATGTCAGTAATATGACTCAAGTCAAATACAATTTGATTTGATGAAATATTTATGAACTTCTGTCAGAGAAATTTAAAACTACATGTATGTTTCTATTTAAAGGGTAGATGTAGAATGCCAAACCAACATTATATACATACAGAGCAGGGAGTGACTATTTCCTACTGTGTATTGTGTATACATGTAATAAGTTGGTTCTTTTGATGTAACATTTATGTTCAAGCAACTGGTCTACAATACTTGTCATGTTTTATAAAAGGCCGTTATTGAAATGTTGATATGGCCTTGATCTTGATGATGTTAGAATAACAGTACACAGATTTTTCTGTGTAACATTAGATTTTTTGTACAGTTTATTCTTATTTATTACTCATCAATAAACTGTAGAAATTTAAACTTTTTAATTTGTTATTTCTGACTTTTTGCTTTGCAGATTTAATGTTAAGAAGTAGAGTCATGTAAGGAATATTTTTAAGTTTTGTGAGAGTTATCAGTTCGTGAATTACATAGAGATGTCGTGTAGGCATATTTTATGAAGCATGATAGCTAGTGAAGGGATGAGAAAAATAGAGGGTGTACCAGCAGGTACTTGGTAGCACAGTGAACTTGACTTATGGGTTGATATAAGTAATACTTGTAAAATTGATGCTATATTGATATAGGGAGGGGGTGATGTTATTCCTTCTCTGTGGCCTATGAAAATTGGAGAGAGGAGAGCAAGATTATAGTTTAAAACTATCCACAACAAGCTGGGAAAAACTCTGTTTAATTTTTTTAGTGTCATTTGCATGTTGAAGGTGGAACTTCCATATGATAAGAGACAGAGGTAATTTCCAGAAATAACACTAAAATGTCACTTTTGAAAATTAAAAAAAAAAATACTCTGTGATGGTTACATTTCTTGTAAAGAATTTTTTTTCTGTCTTAAAAAGGGACATATTGATGATGGCTTTGGTCAATGTAAGTTTTGTGAATATTCAATGATATCAGAGACATATTTATATGTCTCTGATGATATCAGATATGAGTTTATAATCGGATGAAATATACGAATTTTTAACGAACGAATTAATCAATATCCCCAAACCGGAAATAAACAAGTGCACGTTGTGGAAATTCTGAGGAAAGAGAGAGTAGAAAGAGTGGTAGAAGTTGTCATTGTTTGGGTATATTTTGGCATCAGTATTGACTTTATTCCGTATAATTTAATGAAAATGATGCTTATACCTTTCATCTTTCAGACTTATAACCTCAGAAACCAAAAATTTAATCTTTTAAATTTTAGGTGGAATAGCTAGAGTATCTAACGCTTTCCAAAAAAGTAAGGTATTTTTGTACCAGGTAGGAAGTATTTTTCCTTACCTTTCCGTTAAAATATAATATGTTTTACGGTGTGACCGTTGGGGCGAGCGCAGTTTATTTACTATCATAAATCTACTGTCTATCATTCAAGAAAAAGAAAGCAAAAAGAATAAAACAAAACAATAAAAAGAAATCATTTCCCAAGCATCGGGATCGAGATTCCAAACTTCTCGGAAGTTTCCGACAAAATCGGAAATACCCGAACCGTTGAAGTGACGAAAGTATGACGTCAGATAAAAAGTTCTGTTGACTTAGGACGCAAACGCTAGTTTTATGGAAAAGAGATTGCATTTAATCATTCTTTTCAAGTAAGTTGTTGCTATGCACCGCAACATGTTTTCCGAGTTTCACGGAAGCAACCGACACAACTTCGTCTAACTTCGTAAGTTTCCGGTGACGTCATTTGTATCATTTCCGAAGAGCAAGGTGAAGGCCGGTGTTGTGGCATGGGGGTATTTTTTTGAATAAGGTAAGGCTAAATCATCTCGGTAAGATTTCGGTAAGAAACAATGTTTCTTTAATTTTTTTACTATTTTTGATTTATTCGCGCAAAGGACATTGGGTAGTGCAGGAATTCTGGGAATGTTGCACAGAGAAATTTGGCTGACGTATGTACAGATTTCAATCCGAATTTCCTCTGTTCATACACGTTAGTCTATTGAGCTCGCTGGGCTCGCTATAAAAATCATGAACTTGATTGCTTTTGTGATTTTGATTATAGTAAGTTATACTGACTAAATTGCAATAGAAACAACACCTCTGCCTACTTTAGGAGAGAATAGTTAGGCCAACAAAAATAATAGTCTTGTTTCCTGCTACCATGTCTTTTGATGCATAACTCATTGACAAGTGGAATTTTATTTAAGTCCATATTTTAAACATATATTTCATGTAAAACAACTTGAGTATAATATATATTTTTTATCTCTTTTGAAACATGAAATTCCTAAAATTTTGAATTTTTTCCCAAAAAGCTAAAAAAAACTTTAGGGTCGGGTGCAAAATAATAGGGTAGGTTGGGTAGCAGGAAACAAGACTATTTTTTATTTTGGCCTTATACATGTATATAGTATTGAATTTTGTATCTACAAAGTATGGATATCTTCAATTATGTAAATATCGGTAATGTAACGGTTGATTTCACACAAAAGACTGGCAATATTATGGAGTTTTAAGGGTTTGTAACTGGTCATCATTAGAAGTGCAGCAATATTTCAAAAAATAAATTCTCCTTTCATTTCCCATAGCGATGCAAAAGCTTCCTGATAATGACTTAAGTACGCATTTCCATTGCTCTAGCTGGAAAACCTCAAAATAAAGGTGATAGAGAGTTGCTGATGCAAAAATTCACTAGATTGCATCTCAACAGGCTCTTAAGTATCATATGCATTAACTCTTTTCCCCCTGTTGCCACCATTTGAGGCACTTGCGATTTCCCTAGAGTGTTTATCTGGCTGCCCCCTGAAGCCATTTTGACTGACTTGAAATGACTGACCATTACATTTAGAACATGCTAATTAAGTACCTAAACATCATCAAAGTGTCACATATTATATATCAATGTTTGGGGAATGGATTGAACTTTAGTATTGTCATATAATTTTCTAAGAATAATTAATCTACAATTAACAATATATAGGTGAAACCAGGTAAAATGAATTTTTCACAACTAATCTTCATATTATCCTTTCTATGAGAGAAATTTTCTATAAAATATACCAGTAAACTTAAAAAATAATACCAAACCAATTAAAAGGCTCATTATTTTTTGTTAATTAATATTAATTAAGATAGATTAATAATGATAGGTAATTATCTTAGACTTGAGCCAACTAAACTTCACAATCATGTTCAAGCAGGTATGTTCATAAATATTTTATATAATTATTTAGTTGACCACTTATTGCAAAAGTCTTGGGGAAAATAAATTAATACATGTTTTTATCTAAATCAATGCCCTGATGAAAAAAAAAATGCTGAAAGTAGATTATTTAGTACTCATAAAACGCATGGGAAATCTGTGGCCGCCATTGTTGTTCTTGTTAAAAATTCTATGATGTTCTTCCTCTAATTTTCATTGTAAAATTTTATTTCTATTAAATTCAACTTTAGAACTGATGTAAAAACATTATGAATGCTAATACAATCCAAGGTATGTTAGATAAAATGCAATATTAAGGCTGAATTTTGCTTGTGACAAGGCCCAATTTCTTTTTGTAAACAGACTGGGTGCCATTGTTTTAACACAGGTAAATCTCAAGTGAATTCACACCAAGCTGTGACTTCACTAATTATAGTAACATTACCTAATGTGTAATACACATGATTGGCTATCATTTAGAGCTGAATTTATTTAGAAACAGGGGAAATCACAGAGTTAATTTAGGGTTGCTGTGTGTATGCGTCAAATGGTGGCATCAGGGAAATGGGGCATAGCGTCAAATGGTGGCATCAGGGGGTAAAGGATGTAATGCACTAGGGGGAAAAGAGTTAATGACAGCCCTTTGAACGGAAGTCCAAGGGTTACTACACTGCGCTAGGATAGAGAAAATTCGACCTAATCATCTGAAATAAAGGCATTTAAAAATGGCAAAGAATAATTCCTTTGCTGAGATCTCGATATTAATGAACCTATTGTATCATAGAAATTAAGCTACAATTGTTGTGTAGGGCCATCTTGCATGTTTTAATTGAATGGTGGGGAGGGGGGTGTTTTAACAGCCATATTTTACTTTCTAAAGTTAAAAGATAATCATTTAACATTTTTATCAAATCTCTGATGTTTTGAAAAGTGAATTTAGCCTTACTGTACTCATTTTTGAAAATCATTAGATAATAAATTCAAACATTTGTAGACTACTGCTCGTTGTGTTTTTTTGCGTTTCAGTATATTTACAATTTAAATCAATCGAATTATTTCCGACTCGGCATTTAAAAATCAGACACAGTGTGAAGTCAATTTAACTGTAGAAACATGTGTATGTTTAAGTTCACAATCAGGGGAAATTTTAATTTGAACTTAAAATAAAAATTATGTAAATAAATCTACGCTTAATCTTGTATTTTTATCCTTTAACTCAGATACGCCATATCGATTAGCTTTAAAGACAGTCAGTATATGGTATAGTTTACAGCTAGTGTTACTGTTAATATAATATTTTTCCCCAGGATTCAGTAGTTGGAACTTGGATGATAGCTGGTAAGTGTCTTCTCAGGCCCAGTAAAAAGCAATTTACCGGGGGGGGGGATAACCCAAAAAAAAGGTCATCAGGCATTTTAATTGAGGGGGCACAAGCATATAGTAGCTATAGTTTACTGTAAATTACCATAGTATAATTTATTCCTACATATCTAATTATTTTATTATCCTCAGACTATTTATTAATGAGCACAACCTGTATTGTGTGAAATTTTTAAGTTGATCTCAAGTTGATCTTAGTCCAGCAGCTTTTAATTTTAGCTTACTCTTATGTTAGTAATGATCTCGTAAGGGGGGGGGGGGATAACCAAAAAAAAAGGTCATCAGGCGTTTTAATTGAGGGGGCACAAGCATATAGTAGCTATAGTTTACTGTAAATTACCATAGTATAATTTATTCCTACATATCTAATTATTTTATTATCCTCAGACTATTTATTAATGAGCACAACCTGTATTGTGTGAAATTTTTAAGTTGATCTCAAGTTGATCTTAGTCCAGCAGCTTTTAATTTTAGCTTACTCTTATGTTAGTAATGATCTCATACAATGATTTTAGGTTTTATGTTTTTATGATTATTATGTTGTATTTAACTACTTGTATATCTGAAACACTGTCTGTTCAGCGCCTTAGAGTAATTTATTTTAAATAGAGCGCTATACAAATATTATTATTATTATTATTATGTTCCCCAAACGAAGTTTGGGAACATATTGTTTTTACTCTGTTTCTTATTATGTCGCCCCGAACGAAGTCGGGGACGACATATTGATATTGTACGCATGTTTTTTTTATCCAGGCTGTTTCTCGGAGATGGCTGGGACAATCTTCCTGAAACTTTCCTCAAAGGACGATCACTGGTTGTAGTTGTGCAGTGAGGTTGTTCAGTTCCAATATGTCTACCGTTGCCATGGAAACCTGTAAAAAGCGACAAATTTTGTCCGAGAGTGTTCTCTCTGGTCCCTTAAACGTTCGTCATGAAACTTTTCTTATTTTAATGATTAGTATCTGTAGTTATGCAACTCGCATTTAAAATTTTCAAATAATCGATTATTGCCATGGAAACCAGGTGAAAGTTAAAATTCTTTAATTTCAATTTTCTCAATAACTACGCAGGCAATCGTTTTGAAACTTTCAGTGTTTATTCCTTGCAATGTGTCAAAGTGATTTCTACTTTAAAAAAAATTGTAATGAGTCGCTCACAGTTGCCATAGAAACGAAAAAGAAAAAAAGATTCAGATGTACACATGTGTTCTCCAAGGTCTAGGTCAAAGGGTCAAAGTTCTTGGTGTCCAATAAAAGTTCTTTTCACAAGGATTACATATTTGAAATACGAAAGCCCTAGCCCTTACCGTTCAAACGTAAGGTACTATGTTCAAGACAACCCCCCCCCCCCCCCCTTTTTGAAGCGCACTGCCAGGTAGAATACACAGATATAACATATACAATTTACAGGTAACGTTTTAAAAGTTTCATTCATAAAATTCAGTTCTCCTGATGTGATTTGATAGTTTGCCAACAGTCATTCTTCTTCTGTCTTGTCTCTAGATTTTATAATTATTTTGTTTTTTTCTATATAAAAAATAACGATTGTCAACTTCATTTATTAGCATTTCGCGTTTTTTGGTATATCTATTACTTGTATGTTATTAATTTCATTAAATAGTGCAAGAATAAATTAGAAAATTGGTACGTTATTTCCATAGTTTTTAATCATTCATAAATCTTTGGATCCGCTCCTATACAGGTGCGCTAAGCCTTGATCACTACTGTAAACAAAACATTCATCTCGCCGAAAATGTTCATGATTCCGCTAAACTGAGAAAGTTTACACATGATTTATCATCTCATAAGAAACATCAGACCTGTACAGTGCAGAAATGCTCGAATTGAAGGTGGCATGTCAGATTTGTTTTCCGGCAGAACCTCCAGAAATTAAAGTGAAAGTAGGGAATTTTCTGAATTCTCACTGGCGTTTTAATACACAAAATAATTCGGCTGATCTTCTTAATAAATAATATTTGCCAAGCTTTTTTGGTAGGAAAGATACTTCCAGTTAACAAGTATGAGGCTCAGTTCAGTACATCTGCCCAATTTCTTGTATGCAAGTCTGCAATTTTGGACTTGTAATTTTTTTCCTGCACTACTTTCTTCTCCTACAGATTCTAAAAATAATGAGTGGGATGTACCCAATTAAGGTCTTCCGTTATTAACGGAAAGAACTGATCATACGACTGGATGGTTGTCAAAGCTTAGCTAATGGACCATTGTTTTAGTGATGATAAAAATAAAAGTCTTGTCGAATACGGGGCGACATATGCTATTGCTTGCAATAGCAGACTTTCTAGTTATTATTATTTTTCTTCTTCCTGGGCACTTTTTTGTCCGCGAATGATCTCGTTAACTATACATCCGACTAAGGTGAAATGTTTTTAGGGTTAGTAGACATGTTATGTAGATTTGCGGAACGAAGGTCATTTTGCGCGCACGTGCTTGCAAGAGCGCGCACGTGCAACACGAGAAATGATCTATATAATGGATATAAGCGCAACTTTTTATATTTTTGATGAAATGCTTTGAAACTCATAATATTATGATATATTAGTAACATAGACAATATGACATGGTCAAAATAGCAAGATCTCACGCACATGCACGTGCGCTTCGCTCTGATTGGCTGAAACTAAAGTCTCAATATCTTTCTTGTTTTTTGACAAAATCCTTTGAAATTTTGAACTTTGCCATGTATTAGGATATTCTACAATATGATATATAGCAATTTTTATGAAAGCACGTGCATGCACGTGCGCTGCAATCTGATTGGCTCAAACTTTAAATAGCTATAACTCCCTTGGTTATCCACCAAACAGGATGGGATTTGGATCATAGATAGATATAATAGACTTTAACCAGAAGGCATGGTCTCCATGCACATGCATACACGTGAGTGTACGTGTGCTGCAATCCGATTGGCTTAAATTTAAACAGCTTTAACTTTCTTGGTTTTCAACCAAACGGGTTGGGATTTAGAACATAGATATATGTAATGGACTTCTACAAGAAGGTATTGTCACCATGTTCATGTATGCACGTGCGTGCACGTGAAATGACTAAAAAAGCCTCTTGAATGAGCGTATTTTTTAATACTTTTGGATTAAATATTTAAATAATTGGTATATTAAATTATATAGAGTGTAGACAAGATGATATGGTCACTACGTACATGCATTTACATGTGCACGCGTGCAACGCTAAAATTTGAATGAACTTGCTACACTTCTAGGTAAACGTTGTTAAATTCTCAAATGCATAGCGTTTGTCTTATTAAATGAAGCTTACAGGGAAATTGGCACCAAAAGGGAGTTGGGGAGCGTTTGGGGAACATCTGTAACGGTCCCCGTTACAATTAGCACTAGTTTATTTATTATTTTTGTTGTATTTATTTACTAATAGGAATATGAAAAATTCAACTAGATTTGATCCAGGAATGAGGAAGAGACACAATAGGAGGACATCTGATTCAGCTAAAGATAAACATTCAAACTCCAAGACACTCCAAGACAACATATCTGATGTTAAGAAAAAGAAAGTATCAGGAAAATCAGAAAAGAAAAAGCTAGCAAAGCTATTTAATGAGAAATTGTGTTTGTTAGATTCACCACCCAGAAAACAGAAGAGGACTTCTAAATCAGAAAGGGAAAAGCTTGCTGAATTATTTGGTGCCAAAGTCTCATTGTCTAGTCCTAAGCATGAGACACAGGCAAGTCTCATACCTTATGTTATAGAAATACTGATAGTCAATTCAATTTAAGCCTTTTTAAAAATAGATTTCATACACTCTAACACTGACAATTGATTTCTCTTTCCTTTTGAATTCTTTTTATCTGTAATGGTTTTATCATACTTAGATTGTATCACCCATAAAGGATCAAGAGAACAGAGATGTTACATTAACAAATCAGCACAAGGAAGATTCAGCTGAACAGAATAAACTGCAAGAATTTTCACATGGTCAACAGAAAAAGAAGTAAGTTTTAATGATATATGTTACTTTTCTCATGATTAATTTTATGTTACGTGTACGTTTATGCCCATTAGGCCCTGATTTGGTAATAAATCCTATTCTGATCTTTTCTATTCACTAGTCATATGATCCTATGTACATATCACAGCTATATACATAACAATAATAGATTGTTTACTCTTGAAGGAAATCAAAGAGGAAGAAAAATGAAGAAAAGTGGAATAGTCCTATCAATGGAAAGAATCTGACGGGAACAGAATCAAAGGTTAGCAGGACAACTGAAAAAATAAATTAGCACATATTGAACGATTCCTGTTGAGTGTTGACCCTAATGTGTCAGATGTATGTATGCTTTTTAGTTCACCTGAGTCGAAGGCTCAAAGTGAGCTTTTCTGATCAAAATTTGTCCGTCGTCTGTCGTCGTCGTTGTCGTAAACTTTTCACATTTTCATCTTCTTCTCAAGATCCACTGGGCCAATTTCAACCAAACTTGCCACAAAGTATCCTTGGATGAAGGGGATTCAAGTTTGTTCAAATGAAGGGCTACACCCTTTTCCAAGGGGAGATAAATATGAATTAGAGAAAAATTAATGGCATTTTTTAAAAATCTTTTTCTCCAGAACCACTGGGCCAGGAAAGATGAAACTCATGTGAAATCATCCTCAGGTAGTGTAGATTCAAATTTGTTCAAATCATGACCCCCAGGGGTAGGGTGGGGCCAAAATGGCCGATCAAAGTTTTACATAGGAATATATAGGAAAAATCTTTAAACATCTTCTTCTCCAGAACCACTGGGCCAGGAAAGATGAAACTCATGTGGAATCATCTTCAGGTAGTGTAGATTCACGTTTGTTCAAATTATGACCCCCAGGGGTAGGGTGGGGCCAAAATGGCCGATCAAAGTTTTACATAGGAATATATAGGAAAAAACCTTTAAAAATCTTCCTCTCCAGAACCACTGGGCCAGGAAAGATGAAACTCATGTGGAATCATCTTCAGGTAGTGTAGATTCAAGTTTGTTCAAATCATGACCCCCAGGGGGGGTAGGGTGGGGCCAAAATGGCCGATCAAAGTTTTACATAGGAATATATAGGAAAAATCTTTAAAAATCTTCTTCTCCAGAACCACAGGGCCAGGAAAGATGAAACTCATGTGGAATCATCCTCAGTTAGTGTAAATTCAAGTTTGTTCAAATTATGACCCCCAGGGGTAGGGTGGGGCCAAAATGGCCGATCAAAGTTTTACATAGGAATATATAGGAAAAATCTTTAAAAATCTTCTTTTCCAGAACCACTGGGCCAGGAAAGATGAAACTCATGTGAAATCATCCTCAGGTAGTGTAGATTCAAGTTTGTTCAAATCATGACCCCCAGGGGTAGGGTGGGGCCAAAATGGCCGATCAAAGTTTAACATAGGAATATATAGGAAAAATCTTTAAAAATCTTCTTCTCCAGAACCACCGGCCCAGGAAAGATGAAATTCATGTGGAATCATCTTCAGTTAGTGTAAATTCAAATTTGTTCAAATTATGACCCCCAGGGGTAGGATGGGGCCAAAATGGCCGATCAAAGTTTTACATAGGAATTTATAGGAAAAATCTTTAAAAATCTTCTTCTCGAGATCCACCGGCCCAGGAAAGATGAAATTCATGTGGAATCATCCTCAGTTAGTGTAAATTCAAATTTGTTCAAATCATGACCCCCAGGGGTAGGGTGGGGCCAAAATGGCTGATCAAAATTTAACATAGGAATATATAGGGCAACCTTTTAAAATCTTCTTTTCAAGTATTTCAAAGCCATGATTAGTAATATTTATATGGAATCATCCTCAGATAGTGTAGATTCTAGTTCGTTCAAATTATGATTCCCTAGGGGGTTTAGATTCAAGCCCCCCCCCCCCCCCCCTCCACCTCAGTAAACTTTCAGTTCTGATCTGATATGTGCTTTTTCCTAGCCTATGTGCTCAGGTGAGCGCTGTGGCCCCTGGGCCTCTTGTTTGGGTAACTTCATTTCATTCATACTTTGTATCAACTCTATTTCAAGGAAAAATGACATACACCCATACTTTCAGAAGGCAAAGAACAATACGCCAGTTTCGAGATTGTAACTCTCCTAAGATAGAGGCGCAAAAAGTATCCATTTCGGCAGGGAGGTGGGACAGGTTGTTTCTGTACACAAACGTACATAAGTAAATGAACGATATTTATTACTTTTAAAATTTATTAAATGTTATAAAAAGATAATGATATTAAGCAGTGATGCATTTGATGATTTTATCAAGTTCAACTATGCATATTTACAAGTCTACTTTAAATTATAGGCATTTGAAAACGAAAGAAACGTCATAGTCTTAATAAAAAGTAACCGATTTTCTTGATCGTACAACCTTCTTTAAAAAAAAAAAAAAAAAGTTTGTGGGTTTTTTGAAATTATAATAAGGAAAAGAATCAATGTGTCATTTAGATCGCCTACGTACAATGATCAGATGCATGTGTACCGGTTTTATTAGAGGTCCTAATTTCTTCCCTCGTCTGAAAAGTCTCACATCCACCGACATTTTCTTTTTTGTTACGATTTTTTAACTTTAAAAAATGACTTCTTTAAATTAATTCGGTTATTCTCGAAATGTAGAGTGCATCCTGACAATCATGTAGTTATGATAAACCAGTATATCGATGATACAATGTATCCAATATATAAATATCAAATATAGTTGTCCCACCTGTTTGTTTACGCGGCAACGAATCTCCCCTCCTTAACGAAAGAGCGCACCAAGGGAGATAATCTCGAAACTTGCGTATTGGTGCTTCTATGATCTAAACACAATTTAAACAATACAATATAATTTTTTTTGGAAAACAGTTTTGAAAATGAAGTATCCATCTTCTACAAAGTATATTTGGTACTTTTTGTAAAGGTATTTGTAGTGAAGATACATGAACAACAAGCATTTATGAGTACATGTAACAAAAATAAACATACACAAGTCTTCTACATTGAAATAATACTCAGTAACCTGAAGCTGTATATTTTATTCACTTCAGGAATTGAACCAGACAGGGGCAGCTGATGAATGTGAAATGGGTCATGAGGATACACCCAGAGACACATCTGGATTCTGTCCACCTCCAGGAATCGTCCACGAATCTCTGATGAAAGCAAAGTAACTACACGTATATATTAAAATAAAATGCTTGATACTGGGATTCAGAAAAGCAGATCTTTATGATTTATTATACTTTTTGCTGTGAAGTCATCTTCACTAGCTAAGGGTTTCAGATATGCTATTCTCCTCATTTTAAAATTATATTTATGTTGTATTACATGTATAAAAATAATTTATCTTGTCATATTTAACGCTCTCTTGATTCTTGATTTTAAGAGGGAAGTCAAGGAAAAAGACGTCCATGGATGTTGAGGGTGAGGATGAAGAAGAGGAAACTCCGAGAAGAGAGAAAGCAGAACGTGACCCGAGTAAAGACTTCAGGACAGTGTTTGTGGGTAATCTTCCTGTCAACACCAATAAAAAGGTAGATATTGAACAAATGATGAGATCCATAACCTCTCTCTCTGATTGTCTTATCCAGCAGCACCTGTAGTTGAACACATGTAAATCCAAGCTTTATTTCTTTTTGCAGGGTCTTTACAAGTTATTTAAGCAATTTGGATCCATTGAGAGTGTTAGATTACGCTGTGCAGTAAGTCTTTAAAGCATTTTCTGTTACCGATGCCTGTATTATTTCACTACACTAGAGATCTACATACTTGTAGTTTATAGCTAGTATATAAGTCTCTTGCTGTTAATATCCAAGTCTCTCACTGTGTAATGGTAGAATATACACACAGGTCTCTCTGTGCAGTCTGATATTTTTGTTGACAAGTAGATATACATCAATGTTGATGATTTCACACTGATAGAAGTTTTAAGCTAATTTTAAAGCGTTAACATTTATATTTTACCTTTCTGTCTATCCTCTCATTCTCAGACCATTGGTCCATTTTCATTTAATTTCATTGCATTGGCAATCAAGTTTCTGATATATTTACACATGATAGAGTAAGGGGGATTCAATATTTTTGGTAGTTAGTGTTGACAATGGAGACTAGAACATGCATTGATAATTAGAATCACACCTTGTCCTTTTCTTTTTCAGCCCAGATCCAACACAAAGTTACCTAAGAGGGCTGCTATAATCCTGTAAGTAACATCAACTTGTCATTTTTCACATCGATTCAATCTGAATCTGGTCATGTTTGTAAGTGTGGAGGTCAGGCCCCAGGATCATGAAACAAACTTAGACTTAAGTCAAATTTTCAATTGCCTGTAAAATGTTTATTAATTATTTAAAGACACAATGTGACACACAAAGGGGGAAATTAACAAATGTAGAATTTTTGCGTGATCCGTGTAAATTTTGTTCACTTCCATAAAGTATTAGGTTTAAGAAAATTACAGGTTTCAGAACCTAAAAATTACATTTTTATGGAGAAAAATACAAGTAAAAATAATTTCAGTATGCCCCATAACGAAAAAAGTTGAATAAGTTTCCATAGTTACCATGGTCTCAAGTATCCACATGTAAGTAGACCAAAATTTTTCATGTAATCTTTTTAAAAGGTTGTTAGAACATATTTCTTACCTTTGCATGCTCCAGTTGAATGTTGTTTACAAGTTTGAGATAAAATAAAAGTGGCGTGACCTTGACATACACGAAACAACGAAACGGTAGATACTGCCTTTGTTTTTCCGGCACTTATATTGAGCAGTCTTTTCTTGCAGTTTAATTGTCATATCTTAGCTATATACATGTACTCATAATTTTCATATGTCTTTTTCTGTATGCTACAGATATCTTAAAAGAAAGACATGATTTTGACTCATTGTGTCCTTTTAATTAATCTCAAAAATTGAAAATAACAACATTTTGGCTAATCAATAC